TCGCCTAATTAACCAACTCAAAAGTTTTCTAGCCGGTTCCCAGTCTGGGTAAAGAGGGAGAGTTGGGCGTAAGGCTAGCAACCACACACCACTAAATCTTTCAAACTTCTAGAGAAACTTCAACGCACAGAAAATATATTAAAAATATGAAAACTTCAAGTAAAAATCTTATTCTACTCTCGAATCGACGAGGCTATATGACACGTGCTAGTGAAAGCCTTCGCGAAGCCAGTCAGCCATCAGATGTCTCTTCTTTCGACGAAAGCAAGAGTAAGAGTGGGTACGTGGAATGTCCGTACGATGTTCGAGACTGGGAAGGCTGTCCACTTAGCCAAAGAAATGCAAAGAAATGGCATAGAAGTACTGAATATCTGCGAAAGCAGTTGGAATGGATGTGGATTGACAACACTGTCAACGGCAGAGTCAATAATCTACTCCGATCACCCAGACAACAACCGTGAACACACCGAGGGAATAGCCATCATGATGTCACCAGTGGCGGCCATAGCCCTAATGCGGCAGGAATCAATTTAATACAGGATCATGACAGCAAGATTCAACTTCAAAGGAAGAAAGGTAACAATTATCCAACGAAACGCACCTACAAACAACGTGGAACAATAGACAACTGTGCGTCGGTGACACAGTGGTTAGGACTCTCGCCAACCATGCACATGGTCCGGGGTTTGATATCCTGCCGACGCACACCCGATATCTATGGTCGGCCTGAATTTGGGCTACTGATATCCATGCTGAAAATTCCATACTTGTAGTGTAAATACGGTGTGGCATCAAGTTGTAATCAAAATTTAAATTTAAAAATTTTAATTTTAAATTTAAATTTAAATTAATTACAAACAGTATTGGACAGCATCCCAAATGGAGGCAGCGTATACAAACACAAGGACATACACAAAGCAACATGGATTTCGCCTGATGGGCATACCGCAAACCAAATAGACTTGATCTCGATACTGCTCAAGGAAGTGAAGATGCAGCCTTCTGGATAGAGTGTCGAGAATGGGAGCAGATTTAGAGTCAGACCATCATCTAGTTTAAGGAACCTGCCTTCAGGTTGAAGGTGAAATCCCTGAAAACATCTGGAGACAGGCCACAGTGCATGTTCAACACTCAGAAACTGAAGGACAAACTACAAGGAATACCTTCATCGCAGATCAGATCACTTCTTGGCATCACTGAGGAACATTGTAACTAACTCTTTGAAGGTGATATTCAAGGAAATGTGTACAAAAGAAGAGACAAGACAAGAAATGGCTGTCGACAGACTCCTAACTGGAAGCTAACCAAGGAGAGGAGGATGGTAAAAGAGAAGATGACTCACTGCAAGGATGGACAGGAGGAGGAGAAGCTAAGTTCAGTGTACATCACAATGAATACAGTGAAGAAGAGTGCTGGGAAAGACAGTACAATTCCACGATATTAGGACAACTAGGGCAGCAGATGCTGCAGGTAAAAGGAATCTCAGGATATTATATCAGATAACCAAGTCCCTGTCCGGGAAGAGATCAACCCAAATGATGAAACCAATGAAAGATATTCAAAAGGACCTGATCACCAAGGAGGAGAAACAAATCAAACAATGGGTTGTCCACTTTGAAGGACTCTTGAATCGGCCACCACTGGTAACCCGCCCAGAAATACCACCAACAGCACACCCAGAACTGCCTACCAGTGGACACGAGTCCTGCAACGAACGAAGAAATGCGTCGGTGGCACAGTGGTTAGGACTCTCGCCAACCATGCACATGGTCCGGGGTTCGATCCCCTGCCGATGCACAACTGATATTTATGGTCGGCCTGCAAAATTTGGGCTACCAATATCATCACCTGCTCAAAATTCCATAATTGTACCAAAAAATACGGTGTGGAATCAAGCTGTAATAAAAAAATGTGATCAAGCTACTAAAGTCCTGGAAGGCAGCAAGACCAGACGGCATTCCTCCCGGAGCACTGAAGACGGCCCCAGAGATCACGTAAAATGTCCCCACTCCATTACTGCAAAACGTTTGGAAAGAAGGAATCATGCTATTTTAAACGCCAAGTAAAATACTAATTCGCGTCATCCTGGGGAGAATAAGACTCACTCGATGCACAACTCTGTCAGCCCGGAACAAGCTGAATTCAGGAAAGGCAAATAGTGTGCTGACCCAATTGCAGATCCACACATCATCACCGAACAGAGCATGGTATGACAGTCAAGTCTGCACCTCAATTTCATCAACCTTGGAAAAGCTGTTGACTAAGAAGTAATTCGGAAACTACTTCAAAGCTGTGGCTTGCCTCAAATCTTTACCAACCTCATTCGACAGCTATATGGTAATGCTACATGTAAGGTGATCCACAAGGGAAAACTTGGTGAGGTGTTTAAAGTGCATGCAGGAGTAAGACAAAGCTGCCTATTATCGCCGATGATATTCCCAACTGTGGTGGACTGGATTATGTGTCAGACTATGAGAAGTGAAAAGGCAGGAATAAGCTGAACTTACCAGGAGACTTTAAAACACTAGTATTTCGCAGACGAATTATATCTATTACCACAAAGACTCTAAGAATTACAGGCGACGGCCAACAAACTGGCTTAGGGACTTCAGGTGAATATAGGGAAGTTGAAATTCATCAAAATGATCAGCCAACAGCAGCAACAACCAGCATCAATCACCATCAGCGGGAGAGTTTTAACACATGTTGCCTCCTTCACCTATCCATTAAGCATCGTTTTTACTACAGGTGGAGAAAATGAAGATGTCAAATTCAGTCAGTATCAGAAAAGGAAGATGTGGCTTCATCAATCTGAAACCAGTTTGGAAATATTCTGCACTTAGCATAAGGAACAAGACACAGGTTTTCAACGCCAGTGTGCAGTCGGCTCTTCTATATGGATCTGAAACTTACACTGCGTGTCACGAAAATGATTTCCAAAAGGTTGCAGACTTTCATCAATAGCCGTCTTGCCTGGCTTCATAGTGAAGATTGAATGGCAGGCCATAAAGAATAAGCAGCGAGATAACATGATAGCAAACCGACAGGCGAAATCTTATTGCTCAACAAAAATGTAGAAGAAAGTGGGATAGATTGGACCTACAATGGGGAGGCCACCGAATGACATCGCACTCAATGCAGGCCATTGCTCAAGTGGAATTTAAATGGGAAGTGACCAGTTGGTCATCTTTGCGTGGGTGACATGCAGGAGATGGTGTGAAGAGGAGATGAGAGATTGCGGGCAACCGTGGACCCAGCTGAAAAGGGGGCGGAAAACAGGACAAAATTGAGATGTGTTGTCGAAGCCCAATCTTCCACTCGCAACTCAAGGGAACAATAAAATAAATAAAAATACATTCGACATCTGGAATGCAGCACAAATATTTCAAAGCTTCATTAACGAAGCATTACTCTGTCTCGACTTTGCATGCGCATACTTAGACGACCGCCCCATTACCAGTCCAGACAAGGAGACTCACCTTAAACACTTGGACTTACCACTCGGAAGGTTACGCCTAAATGGTGTTTCCTCTGATATTCAAGTGTCAGACAGGCGTTGACTCACTCGACTTTCTCAGCCACACCATTGACCGCAAGGCTATTCCCAGCTGCCTAACATAGTTGAGACGATACTGAACTTTCCGGAGCCACGGACAGTGAAAAGTCTGCGCACTTTTAACGGCTTGGTAAGTTATAACCTACCATTTACTACTAACTGTGCTTCCGTTATTCAGCCACTGACAGACCGTCTTCATGGGAATAACAAATCCGTCGAACTTGACGCGTATGCTCAAAATGCTTTCACTTAGGTTAAAAAGGCTATAGCGGATGCCATCCTCCTGATGCATCAGGATCCAACGGAACCGTTAAGTATGTCGGTTGATGCATCAGACACTGCAATCGGCGCAGTTCTGCAGCAACTAGTCAACAGAGAGTGGCAGCCGCTCGCCTTTTAATCTAGGCGCTTACAATTAGCAGAAACAAAGTACACCACATTCGGCAGAAAACTTCTGGCAATGAACTCTGCTATACGTCATTTCCGACATTCAGTGGAGGGTCGTGATTTTATGATTTTCACTGACCACAAACCTCTGACGTACTCTCTAAACTCAACTTCAAATAAGTATTGGCCTAGAGAATCACGACAAGTGGACTAAGTTTCACAGTTTACATCGCATATTCGTCATATATCCGGGGTTAACAACACTGTGGCAGATGCGTTGTCACGCATTTGTTCCCTCACCCAAATAGATAGCACAGACCTTGTAAAACTGGCTCGTCTTCAAAAAGAAAATGTCGAACTCCAACATGAGTTGTCGAAAACAACTCTGCATTAATATGATGTGACATTTCCACGAGTACTCCTCGCCCCATCGTGCCTAAAAGTTATCGCCATGACGTCTTCAGTACGTTGCATGGCTTATCTCAACCACGTATTCGAACTAGTAACTAGTCAGTTTTGTTGGTCTGGTATTAATAAAGAAGTAAGGGAATGGGCACACACGTGCTTAGCTTGTCAAAAGTGCAAGGTAGTAAGACACACCAAAAGCCCTCTTGGCACCTTTCTTATCCCTGATGCTCGTTTTGAACACGTTCATGTGGATTTGGTTGGACCCCTTCCAGAATCTCATGGATGAACCACTAGTCACGGACGCCTGCCTGAAATATTTACTTTTAAGTCCTAGGACAACGGTTAGATTAGGGTTGGGAGTCAGTGATAATGTGTAAGTCCAGGGTTAAGTGTTATGATAGGGTAAGAAGTAAGTATTAGGGGATATATTAGTCTTAAGAGTTAGGTTTAGGTATAGAATCAGAGTTTGCAGAATGCAGAATCGTCCAAGCAAATAGTTTATCAACAGTCTCAGAGATTTTTGCAGTGCTTAATTCAGATTGTTTGCTCAAGTTCACTTAGTGTCTGAAATGGTTTGCCTGCACTAAAGCTCAGATAATCAGTAGAAAATGATTAATGTCGACTCGAAGCTTTCTGTCGCCAATCAGAAATGAGTGATCAAGGTCTCATCACATATTTTATGGTTGATCAATTCAAAGGCGTCGTTACACTTTTCATGCTTTCACCTGTTAACACATTTGGATTTCGCAAATTGTGTACAGCAGCAACTTCTGTCATGGAGAAAATGAGCAAACGTGAAAAACGTAATGCCAAAAGGGCTGCAGCTAAAACTACATTGGTAAAAATGCGACAAGAAAAGAAACGTGCCAAAGTAGACTTTGACCACTATGAAAATTCAGATATTAGTGATTACTACATAGATGGAGCTTTCAGAAAGGTTCGTTAAAAACTTTTTTGTGCAATCTAATAGGTCTTCCCTTATCACTTTACTTTCAAAGCATATGCCAAGCACAGGTGGATTGGTTGTAAGCTACTTGATGTTTTGCAATCTGAGTTTAGGTTTACTTCGGATGAAGTAATAGTAAGTATGTGTTCTGTAAGTGAAACGATCTTCAGGCAAGCAAGTGCAAGCTTGGAGCAATATTGGTCAATGATGAGAAAGTAGATCCTGACTATATAATGAATGATAGTGACTTACTTTCGCATAGAGTTCATCGTCATGAGTGTCCCGTATTGAGTAAGTCTTCATTTTAATCTTAGTCGGCCTTCTAGATCTGCCCATCGAATTTCTGCACAACTCAGACGATATGCTGGTGATCAACAAACCCCCTTCAATACCAATTCATCCCTGTGGTCAGTACACATTAAATAGCATTACCCACATTCTGGCCAAAGAATACGGTCTTCGTCCTCTGCGATTTGTCCATAGACTTGACAGGTTTGTTGTCTGGTTCACCAGTGCTTAATGTATACCATATGATTTTTTATGCACCAATTCAGAAATTATATGTGGCTTAAAAATGCTAGGGTAAAATATATTAGGTAAATTATCTAAGAAGTAATGATTCTTAGTCTAAAAACCGGGGCATTATGCGAGTCAAAGCCATATAATCGAGGGTATTGGATGCTTTTTCCAAGTATTTCTTCCACTTTCAGACTGTAAAACATCTTAAACATGGGACCTGCGCATTGTCAATACTTTCGTCTATCTGTTGTGTGATCTAAGGGATTTTGGAAACCACTGAACAGTCCGCTTCACTCGGTGACTGCATTTTTACTTACTCTAAGTCAAATAAGTTTGTGATAAGTGGCACATCTATCAAGAACTCTAAGTGCATTCACCGTGAATATGTCTAAGAAAGCTAAATAAAACCAGCGATGGACATTTTTCCCAGACACCATTGATTTGTGTAAGTTCAAATGATAAATTGGCTCTTAATTGGATCCACATTTAGTTTCTTGGCTAGCATAACGTAGTTCTAGCTCCTTATCGAAATACTTCGACTGACTGACTGGTTTCCAAGTTGAAGATTGCACAGAAATGCAGCAGTTCAAATTGTCACACTCCCTCCAAGAAGAGAGAGATAATAAACTCAAGTGTGCTTAAGGGAAAATTAATAGTAATGTGGGACAACAATAGGGTTTTATTGGATATGACAAATCACAAAGAGTGAATGCATCTGTGTCACTGAGAACTATTTTGGGCCATATCACCAATTGTCTCCAGCCTTTATTGGTTTTTAGAGTCCCGAGGACCCCAACCAGGAAGTTTATACCTCCTAATGTGTCTGGAATTAACTGTTGTGGATGTCACTGGCTGGTGCCATGTTTTGATTTGACCACCACGACTAGTTATTTTCCAACCTGATCCTATGCCAGCTAAAATTGACCATCCAAGAAGTCGATATATTGTTAGGCATAAGTAACACATGTCTTAACCATCTCAGTCGATATAAGTCCACAACCTCGTTGATTGATTTCCCTTCCTTACCTAGCACTCGATCGGTACCTAACCTAAATATTGCTCGCCTTATCATACCACTTAGCGTGGGAGATAAAACGCAGGCACCTTTGATCAAAGACAGCCAGCTGGTCTTTTCGTGTCTTCCACTTTCAGTGACCATGTCTCACAGCCATTAAGAAGGATATAACGAACTGTTGCAAAGTACACACGTCCTTTGATCAATGGCCAGCCGAATATCCCGTCTACGCTAGAGATAAAGTAAATTGTCGAATGCCAAAAGAGCCTTCTGTATCCGTAATAAAATTTCGTCAGTGATCAATTCACTGGTGTTGGCTGATGCAACTTCCCAAATAAGTGAAGTGGTCAACACGTTCAAATCACCACTTCGATCCCCATTTTTAAGCTAGGAGTCAATGTAGTCCAGTCCTGTAGCATCATCTTACATTTGGCGGGAGCGAACCGCATGCCAAACATTCGAAGATTGCTGCTGAAGGTGTTCAGAAGATAATACATTTTGTCAGCATCTCCACTTAGGAGGGAGGACTATATCGTCCGCATATTTTAAGTCAAAGAGATTACCTCCTGGTAACAAGCCAATCCCTGAGTAGAAGTTAGTTAGGGTAATTCCGTTAGTATATCTATGATGAAATTTAAGAGGAATGGGGACAGTGGGCATCCGTGACGGACACCGTTGGTTGTGATCACGTCAGATAACAACTCTCCGTAGTCTGTTACCTGGCTGCATGAGTTCGAGTAGAGTGCCTTAATCGGTTCAATTAATACGTTGGTAGATAGAATCGAACGTTCCGGGATCATAAAATATTCTAAGTACTTGACCCCAATAAGTTTTTGTTTTTAATTCTTTTGAAGGATAAAAATATGTTAAATAGGACTACCTGCACCTTAAGCCTATTCGATTATCTTTTGTTCCTGTATTTTACTCCACTGATATTATTGTGGGCTCCCTGATCGTAAATACTGAGCTTATTTCCAATTGGAAGATCTGTTCTCTTTCTTATAAATGCTAGTGTGTTTGAAATGCTCGCAATCCTAATGCAATGTCTAGCTCTTTTTTGATTTCCGATTTCGTCCCACCATCATGGTATGTGAAGTCCTGCCGGTTCATATTGCCTTATGTATGGCAGCCTTTGCTAATTCTGGTAGAGTATGAAGACTGATATTCACATCCTCACTGAAATCTAGTCATAAAATCTGGTAACCACGATGTAAGCTTATCAGCTTAGTCACATTGCCCTGGTAGGCAAGGTTAAGTACATGATCAATTTTGGTCTTTTATTTTCACACCTGCTGCCTGAGACACTGTAGTTTCGGACAGTAAGGCCTGTCTGATGTAGTATATTGTTTAAAGATTCCAGTGTGCAATTGACAGCATAGTATAATGAGGAAAGGGTATGGTATTTCTCCTCCCTAAAATTTTCAGCAAAAGTCACTGATTTAAGCAATTTTAATATATGTATCAGTTAAGAGTAGTGTAGACTGAAAAGATCACAGAGTCGGACGTGATAAGTGATGAACAAATTTATTCTGTGTCTAAAACAAATGATGTCTTGTTTTGTTTTACGTAGTAATTTGAAAAGCAGTAATGAGTTTTAATATAGCCATAATAGACATGATACATCCTCTTGAGGTCAGCCACACAATCCATTTAAGGTTCTTGTGATAAACCTTACGCTGATTACAAGCCAGTATAGAAGTTTTTCGGTAGACCTTCGACAACTTTTTGTGTGCGGTCGACAGCATGAATAGTTTACTAGTCGTCAAAGTGGAGCACCATGCTATTGTGTCACGCTTTTCTCCAGCAGTAGTACAACTTCATCCTCATACTCCCACTGTAGTGCAAACTGGTAACATGATAGTAAAATGCTATAAATCAGACCACTTTGTGTGACTTAGTGTAGTAGGATTTCTGGTAATATTCGTCCCACTCAACACAGTTGGTTGCATCATTTCCATACATACGTCTAACCACCATGTCATGATGTCAGCTGATACTAGAACAGCATCGTCCGAATCCTAAATGCCTTCACAACTTTCTATTAATTTGTTATATTTTCCACATACTTTTGTCCATTGTATTACTACTACACTTTTTTTCCTCTCTTGTATGCTTTTTCAAAACTCAGTCATATAAACCAACACAGATATGCGAAAAGTTCTACATTGGCTCGTCAATCAATCTATTGAGTGCCACTTATACTTCATTTCTTTTTTTTCGAATACTCAGGTACACGGAGTACACTTATTCAAAGATTACATTGTATGTCTAAAGGGGAACTATGTCACACTGTTATCGGTTTCAAAAACCTACTTCTTTCTGGGTTTATTTGTTGGTCAAACGAAAATATGCCCTCAGTCTATGGAATTTGAGCCACGTAGGGAGGTGTAGACTACCTGTTGGGTTCCTTGGGATACTCCCTCGCATTTCTGTTATTATCATTCGTCTGAATCTTTTTTCTCTCCTTCGTATTCTACATGAAGTGGGGCAACTCGAACTGTTGCACTTCTGTGCAAAGTTCTATATTGAAACCAATGAATCATTCATGACTTTTTGTGTAGCAGTGGTCCTTTTATAAATTCTAAAACCAGTGTATATATTACTGTTTGTTAGTTTCTTCGTTTTTCGTACATACACCTCACTTTATTTTTATCTTATCCTAGAATGACGTCAGGATTGCTTATAATCGCCAAAAATTATGACGTATCTGTTCGCTTACAGACACAGATTAGCAATAAAGAAGTGACAAAGGTTTGTGTTGATTTATTATCAATTCGACTTTATTTATTGTTAATATTTATATACTTCATACACATTCTCACTGGAAGCTACTTTTGCCGCACCTCCCTTACCGTCAGTCTGATTTAGGTCAATACATTTCAAAATGCATGAGATTCTAGAGAATATGGTTTCCAGAAGCTGGGGACGTTATTAGACGTGGCTTGATTGTACAGTCATTCTTGGCGCTAGGTGTACATTGGTGCATTTATTTGCCTTTCGCTCTGAGCAGATTTATGAAATGTTATGGCCTCATGTGTGATGTCAGTTTATGAGTTGTTACAAGTCAAGTATGCTGAGGTACTACATTGTTGTTCATCTTACTGTCGAGAAAAGAAAGGGAAATCATTGTGAAATTATCTTTTTCGGCTTTGCAGTTATTCAGTACTTTGGTGAGTTTTAGGGTCAAGAAGGATGCAAAAAAAGAATGTCATGGCCATTTCGACCAGATACTTAGGATCCTGCTCAATTTCGACTCATTATTATACCTGTCAATGGAAGATAATTGCTTTGTTTCATTATTTAAATTCGGTAACCACTTTGTCAGTGAAAAAGCGCTTTTCAAGAGTATTACTTTATTAAAAATTCGTACAGTGTACACTTTTCAAGCTAAGAACCATTCGACCCTTCTCATTGAGGTATTCTAAACAAAATTAATCAAGTCTCTATGATCCACTCTTCCAAGCTGTATAACATTTTCAGATAACTATCCTCTAAATTGTTCTTTTTTATTTGACTCTCCCTTTTTTTTAGTATTACATTTGTCACGTGGAAGGCTGTTTTCCTAATGAAACAAAACCAGAAAATTGTGATATTGATTTTGAATTACATGACGGTGTGGTGATCTGTGATAAACCTGTTGGGCCTATCAGTCCTAAATTGGGGATTCATGCTGTTTTATCTGAATCATCAGGTGGAAAGTCCGCTCGAACACATTTTATGCGCTTGAGTTACAATCCTGTGACGGATACAAGTTTAGTTATTTGTCGTTTATTCACTGGACGTACTCATCAAATTCGAGTACATGTACAGTATTTAGGTAATTTTATGTGAAATGTTTTAATCTAAACTTTTCCTGCTTCTATTCCTTTACGTTCCTAGTGGAATATAGGGCTTCAAGCTAGAGGCTTGAAGTTTCGGTAGCAGTGGTGTTTATTTTTACGGGGTGGGATTGCTAGCCTTATACCCAACCTTTCCTCTCTTTACCAGTCTTGTTACAGGCTTAGTGAGGTAAAGAAATGCGTTGTGCGAGGATCGAACCCCGGACCATGTGCATGGTCGGTGAGCATTCTACCGCTGTGCCACCGACGCTTCTAGAAACATTTATAACGGTATGTGTGTTCACGTGTCTTCCAAAGTGGCTTTCATCACAAGTAGGTGTCAGCTGACAAAACTGTTAAAGACTATTTGTTACTTAATCGGTCACATTGCAGGTTTTCTCAGCAAAATGTTGCATTTAGAGAGAACATGAAAGGCAGATTATGGGTGTTCCAACTTTTCTTCCACAACTTACTAATAAGCCTTCTTTAACTGCTGAAACTGTTGTCATTAATTGGCTTCGTATGAATCACAATTTGACGTTTGATCATGTAACAGCTATAATGTAGAATATTAGAATTAGTAATAGTCATAAATTGTACTACAGTCAGCTCATTGTGCGGGTGCTTCGACGGTGTCTGAGGATTTAACTTGAAGTAATTTGATGGATGGTAACTAGCAATAGGACCCAAGATGCACATTCCATCCTATTTGGGACTCGTTGTCCTGATGTACCTGCATTCCCCAGTGAGTGATGGTAATCCCACCGAGGATCGGACCCAGTATCCATCGTTTCAAACGCTAAAGCGTTATCCGCTTGGACGACGACAGCCACCTCTTATGCAACGGGTATCAGTTATTATATAATTCAATCTAGACTTTCCCGTTGATGAGTCCTAAATGGGACGAAATACTCATCCTGGATCCCACTTGTAATCACCATCCGCTAAATTACTTCAATTTAAAGCCATTATTGTCTAGTGTTTCTCTGAAATTGTCATTTCAATCTTGTCAGTCCTTCAATGATGTGGTAAATATGTTGTATTGTGTTTATTATTATACAATGACTTTTGCATCTTTGAGGATGACTCATTTAAAATATTAAGTTACGATAACAGTCTCTCAAAAAGAATTAGTCAATCTTCAACTGTTCAGACTAAGCCGTTTGTACTCCCATTGTGTGATAGCCGTAAGTTGGATTTCAGCTCAAGGTTGAATGATGACTGTGGTGCGAAGAACCTATTACGGTTAAAGCATAAAACGAATGCACTTACCAATCCTCCTTTACTGTCAGTAATTCCATGAGTTATTATACCTGTAACAAAAACACCAGATAGTGTTGTAGTGTCAATTTCTTATTTTTTAAAATAACCTGTAGGTTGATATTAAATCTTATTGTAACGACAGAAGACAAGGGCCAGGCAACAGATCGTTTATTGAGAAAATCAACAGATATTTATAGATTTTTATGTACATTATTATTCGTTATTATTAGCAGAGAAACAGCGTCTTCTGATTGGTTGTTTTCTCACTGGAAGTTAATCTATCATCTCTTTGTGGCCGTTTCTATGAAGGTCAGACCATATATCTGCTAATCGTATCCGCCCACGCCAAGTCTGCTGTGATTGGTTGTTGAGTTCCTCAAGGTTAAGCTTTATTCTTGTTTTTTTCTCATGACCAAGATTTGGGACGTAAACATTGACGTAAATTGCTGTCTACCAATTTTAGCCAGCAGACAGCTCTCACCACATTATCGATTCGAAATGCTAACATTGCTCTTAAATATAAAAAGGTTTATAAGACTATTAAATACTATTTCGAGTGTTCTACCGTAAGATACAACCTAGTTTGCATACGTTACAATATCTATTGTAACTGCAGAAGATAAGAGAAATGGTAACTAACCATTTTAATTAATGAAAAACGCATTATATTTATACATTTTTAACCATATGTGAAAAGTCAACCAGGTAAGCGGACAATAAACTGTTCTAATTAGTTGGAGGCGATTGGCCCAAAGGGATAAAGTGTTTTCCAATGAGATTACTTCCAGACCACAACGTAGACTAAATCCAGCCATTGACTTAATTTTTTGATTTTAATTTTGATCGTTTCTTATCAATCTGTATCTCTTAAATCTTGTGCGCACTAACCACACACACACACGCAACGCTATGACTTCTTATTTAAGATAATAATTTTTCTTTCTCAGGTTATCCTATTGTCGATGACCCATTGTACAATTCAACTGATTGGGGTGAATTAAAAGGAAAAGGGGCTGCATATGGTATGACTGTAGACGAAGTTATTGAAAAGTTGGCTAATTCTCGCACTAGAGAAAAATATATCACTGAAGAAGTAAGTCAGTTTTAACTCATGGTAAAGCCTTTTGTAGTTGTGTCACTTGAGTTTGTCTAAACTGCTGGGATGTTATATTCAAAAGAAGATTTGTTCACTAAAATGAAAGTGTTTAATAAGAGCGTTAGTAGGCGTTGTTTCTCTCCAAGTTTGATCACGGATTGATATCAGTTAGAGAAACCATTGAAAACCACCAGGCAATACTGGACGGCTGTTTTGTCCTAGTTTGAGACTCATTGGCAGTACGCACCCACTACCGAGGTTCGAAGCCAGGACCTTCCGCTTACAAGGCAAGCTCGTAGACCATTCATCCACTGGGACCCGATTCCTCAATGGCCAGCCCATGAATTCTGACTTCTACCTATTGGTGATTTTAGCGTGACTGGCATTAGCCAACTTCACCGGCGATTATTTGTCCTCACTCCTGATCGGGTGAACCTCACTGGTCACGACTTCTCACTAGAACTCCAGGAAACTCTGTCTTGTAGGAGGCATCAGATTAATTCTCAAGAGTTCATTTCTTTCTTTTGACGATCCAGTGTTTTCATTTTCAGTCAGATAAGGTTTCAATCGTGTCTGATGAAACTTCTCATTAAAGCATTTTGGCGGGAATGTTTTCCATTTAAAATTTATGTAGTACCAACGAGAAGAATTAGTAACATATACGTATCCCACACTCAGGCTATTTAATGTTTGTTTTTATCGGTAAATTAGGGAAGGTGGTTATTCAAAAAACTCTTTGTTTATACCGGAATCACCGGTAATTCTGATTTCAGTCAACATATCGAGTGACTGGGTTTCCTCGAATTCCATGACCACACACAAACTGTGGTATTTTCTATCAGGTATAGATCGTGCTAATAATAGTTTCACGGAATTACCTTGTGTTATACCTTTTATGTACTAGAATATCATTACAGCCGAGATAAAGAAAAGACACAAATGAATATAAGCCACTACAATCAAGTCTGATTCTTATAAGCTAGAATCCGCAGACTTCGCTTTCTGTGGTCGCATGAACTCCAGTCAAAGAAATAACTCTCCTACGAAATTCAGATGAAAATCCAATGATGTCATAAATTTTCTTTGTTGGATATCCTTAACTTTTTCACTTAATCCTATTTCCACTAACATTGCACGTCACGAGAACATGTGCAGTACTACGGAGACACTATTAGCCTGACTACCCTAAGTCCTATTCTTTTAGATTACCGTGTTCCATAACCACACAGTAGAATAGAGCTTACTGCTTCAAAGAACACTAGATCATAGGTGTCATAAATTGTATGGGAAGAATTTATGAACTCACCACGATCATATTGAGAAGTTTCACATTAACTTGGCCTTAACGTCACTCTTAGTCAAATTATCTGCATCTGATGCCGACGTGTGTGTGTGCATATGTGCGAATCTTGAACCTCTTGCCTATCTAGGAACTTTAGATCAGGTAAAATGAAATTACTCCATATCAACACATGTTTATGTTCTAAATCTAATTAGTAGTGCTGCTACATGGATTTTTCAACGAACCATAGCCAATGTAAATGTGCGTCGATGGCACAGCGGTTAGGACTCTCGCAGATCATGCACATAGTCCAGGGTTCGATCCCCTGCCGAAACACACCCGATATCTATGGTCGGCCTAAAAAATTTGGGCTACCGACATCACATGCTGAAAATACCATACCTGTACGAAAAAATACGGTGTAGAATCAAGCAAGCTGTAATCGAAAATAATAAAAAAAAAATAGTCTTGGACGGGATTGATCGAAATTCATGGCTAAATATGGTCACTAAGCTCAGTAGTGATGCATCGGTTTTGTTTTAGATGGCGGGAATATATCGGCAAACATCCTTATGCCCACACTTTATGTCTGTTGTTGATCATTAACAGGGCGTATCGGTTCACTGACCACATTGCGTAATTAATCTTTCTTTAGGAGACAAGTACGCATTAAATAAGTGCTTCAGAGGGTGTCAGTCGATGTGAATACCTTATCGGTAGAGTAAGCACTGGAAGATGCAGTTGATCTCAAATTTGAACACATACCTTGTTGGTAAATGCGCCAACAAGCACAATACACATTTAAACCAGAACTTTCTGTTAATCGACTCTTAACTGTTGCATTTGCTGTTGATAATTTATTTGCTTCATTTTTGTGTACTCTAGTCAAATGAAAGCTCGCAAAACTCTTTAGATCCTGAAGTATTGACTCGTCTTCAATCATGTGTAGACCCGTTATGTGAAGATTGTAAATTGACTTTCAAAGATCCAACGCTGAAACATCTTATACTACGATTACATGCTTACCGTTATAGTGGATCAGATTGGTGTTATTCTGCACCTTTGCCTAAATGGGCTAAAGATGAAAACAATTCAGATAATCTGGATAATTTAATTGAAGAAGCTGTGAAAAAGTTATAAACATGTAAATATTACCATATATCAACTTTGAAATGTGTACAGTTTTTATTCAGTTGTATAGTGTAAACACCCATCTTCATGTATACTATTGTTGTATGCTTACATTAATCAATATTGAATAGACCTACTGTATTGTATTTGTAAAGTGCTTTACAACTTTACTATTCCCGTAAGAAAGTGATTATTTTTTTCAAATGGCTTTTACCTTATGTATCCTGTTTATATTCGCATAGTTTTGCCAATAAGTATTTACTACATTAAGTATATAATGACTTCTGTTGTTCTATCTACTTTGTTAAAGTGCTAGTAAATATTCTGACATTTGAAGTAATTAGTTGGAAAGTAGCATACCTTTTTGGTTTACAGTGTTCGTTAGGTGTTGTAGACATCACTCTTTGATAACAGTTGCTTTCTGAAGGTGAAGAAAACACGATAAATACCCATGTACAATATAACGAAAATACTGAGTTATACTCATTTTATCAACCAGTCAATCAGAGTTTACGCCGTCTCTAGCGTAGGCGTGATATCCGGCTGGTTATCGAACGAAGGGCGGATGTACTGCTCAGAGGCAGTCCTCCTTTATGGCTGTGAGCGAGACCTGGCCATTGAGAGTGGAAGACATGAAATGTCTAACTAGCTGTCTTTGATCATAGGTCTCTGCGTTCTATCTCCCGTGTGAAGTGGTATAATAGGGTGAGCGATATTGAGGTTAGGCATCGGTCGAGTGTTACATAGGTGAGAGGGAAAATCAATCGACGAGGTTGTGAAGCTCCATCAACTGAGATGGTTAGGACATTTGTTGCGCACGCATGCATAGCCATCGCCTTTCTCGACGGCCAATCTTAGCTGACATAAGGTCAGGCTGGAAAAGAACCATCAGTGGTCAAACCAAAAAATGGCACCAGTCAATGAAATCCGCAACAGTTAGTTTAAGCCAGCCAGCCACGTAGGAAGGTGTAGACTTCCAGACTAGTTGGGATCCTCGAGACGGTAAAAACCAATGAAGGCTAGAGACAATTGGTGATATGGCTCAAAATCGTTCTCAATGGATGGCGCAGATGTATCCACTCCTTGTGACTTATAATTTCCAATGAAACTATATGGTTCTTCGTTATTACTATTCCATTTGTCTCATATCCCTGTCTACTGTCTCTATTATGCATTTCTTCTCTTGCTTAGTGTGCTACGTGGAGTGTGGCACATCGGTGCAAAGTTTAATGTTGAAAACAGACAGACAGACAATTAGAGTTGACTCACCTTCTCAAATAATTGAGATGTTCAATACATTCAACCATTTCACTCGTTATTTTTAGACTAGGAGTGGGTACAGACCAAGCCTATAACATCATGCATTCAGCAGGGAAGAAGCATAAACCAAACATACTTAGATCCCAACTGATGACATTAAGCATATTCCATTGTGCAACACCGTCTAAACCTAATAGGTATATGTTCTCTATGTGTGTACTTTTATCCATCAATGTTGACTTTATTGTAAAAGAAATTAAAACAACCACTGATACGATGTATCAGTAGTACATAAAGAAACATTCATCGGCACAGAAATATCAAATAGTAGATGCTAATGAAGAGAGGAAATGAACCAGTTTTGCGGCTAAACATGGAAGATGTGGAAGAAAGATAAAGAAACACAATACGAGGGGTAGAGGTAGCACGGCACGGAAGATCTGTGTGAATAACGATTTTAATATAAGGTATACATAATTCCTCTATACGTATAAATCAAATTCCTAATAAACATTCCGTTACCCAGTCTCTTGTCTTCTCCCCTGCACCAGTTTTACAGTTTCTGTGGCGGCGCCATATTATGTTTTATATTTCAAGTTCAACTGCCAATATTTAACTTGAAATTATGACTAATTAGCTAACAAAAATGATGAATGTCCACAATTTCTACACATTTGTTCATAATATCACAGCTTTTATGGTCTGCAGACGGGGTCGTTCTTTATTTGTGTTAACTTACTCAATCTGAGAAGATAACACGTGAGCACTGATAATAGTCTGATACTCATATTTGTATTCAAGTGTTGGTTTGTAGGGATTTGATTGGTAACAGGATTTTCATCATGAGCTGACATTAGTTAGAGAACCACTGGGAGTACTGGACAGATGTTTCGTCCTAGTTTGTGAGTCTTCATCAGTACGCACCCGCCGGGATTCGAGTCCAGAACCTTCTGGTTACAAGGCGAGCTCGTGAACTGGCAGAAGTTAGAATTCATGGGCTGGCCATTGGATCGGGCTCCAGTGGCTTAATGGTATACGGGCTCGCCTTGCAACCAGAAGGTCCTGGGTTCGAATCCCGGTGGGTGCGTACTGATGAAGAGTCCCAAACTAGGACGACACAGCTGTCCAGTACTCCAAGGTTTTCCAATGGTTCTCTAACTAATGTCCGCTCATGATGAAAATCCTGTAACTCATATTTGTCATCAAAACGTCAATTCATCTACGGTTTTTCTTTACAAAAGATAGGTAAGCTTCTAGGTAGGCACCATGAAGCGAAAAGTGCATAAACTATGAGAACAAAGCCACCGAGTGATGATGACCATCACAGTCTGACGGTATAAGACATGCTTGATCAAATTAGCAATTTTGCAATGATAGAGAAGATTTGTAGCTCAGGTGGATAATTTGCAATTAGTAGTGTTTTCTGAGCGTCGGTGGTATAGCGGTTAGGACGCTCGCCGACCATGCAAATGGTCCGGGGTTCGATCCCCGGCCGACGCACTCCTTTACCTCGCTGAGCCAGAAATAATGCTGGTGAAGAGGAAAGGTTAGGCATGAGGCTAGCAACCCCATCCTGTAAAACAAACACTGCTACAGAAACTTCAAGCCACTAGCTTGAAGCCCTATGTTCCACTGGGGAACGTGAAGGAAAAAAAAAGTGTTTTCTGAGCTGGTTGGTTTAGTTAGGGAGCTCACAAAAGAAACTGTGTGCAGACATTGTTTAAAAGAATTCAAACACATTGTAGCACTTCACCTTTGAAAAGAATGGAAAAAAAATACTTACTAACGGTATTTAAAAAGAAAGGATATCCGCACAGTTTCATCAAAAAGTTTAAAATCGAATCATAACACCAACAAGAAACCGCCATCAAAGACCACAAAAAAATTCATCCTACCATACATCAAAAATATCTCTGAAATAATAGCTAGAATATTGAAATCGTTTGAAATAGACATAGCACACAAGCCAGTCAAATCACTTCATTCATGGATATTGTGCAAAAGTGAAAGATCTAACAGAAAAAAGAGATAAAATTAATACCATTTACAAAATAAATTGCTCACGTGAACTGCAATAGACATTACATCGGTCGAATCAGAATCTAGGAACACAAATCAGCTGTGATGAGAAGACATGATATATATTCTTGTTTCATATCAATGCATATAGATAATTATGGACATCAGTTTGATTGGGATAATGTCGAAAGTTTAGACAGAGGAAACACCAAAAGTGCAGTCAAGGAATTCCTAGAAGCCTGATACTCAAACGAATCAGCCAGTGATTAACAAACATGTTAATAGAGACCAAATATACCAACCAACTAATAAAAAGTAAATCATAAAAGTAAAATCCGAGTCAATAAAAACGATCAATACAGATGTAAAGATGGTTACCGGGAGACGCAATTCTATCACTCATGGAAAATTTTAATCCGTCCACTGTATGCTAAAAATTGCGCTGAGAGGGAATGTTGTCCAGATGGACGATGAAAGCTCCGCAACTACACCAACCAGCTCAGAGAATACTACTAATTGCGAATTAGCAATTTACACAATTCGTGGCGAAATTTCACCACAGTGGTTGTTTTTGTAAACAGAAATTATTCAGATGGCAACATGTGATCTGCTGGATACTACAAATGGTAATCAAGATACCGTTAGACGTCTTCTACTGTGAATCCCGTAGTCACATTTCTATTCGGGTTGGCGTTAATCGACACCAAGCAAGATTATACATGGTGAAGGATTTCGGCACAATTACCACGATGTGCCAAATAATAAGTCGCTTTACTGTAAACGATGCTTACACATACAGTATGGAACTTTCAATATTTTTACATCGCAACAAATTAAATCTAGTGTATAAATAGAAACCACTATAAGGACTCAATATAATGGACGAGTGAATTCAAGGGACAAACGGCTGTTTTCCTTACTAATTATACTACAACAGGTGCATTAGCTGTGTTCGAACATGACATTCTGGTGGTCTTTTACATTATCCTTGCTTGACAAACGATTTATGATCAGTTAAATGTTTCATATTTAAATTATCTAAGTCGTATTCTTTTATGTAAGTGGCAATTTACTACTAAAATAAATGTATAATACATGTGTTACCTATAGACCGGTGGATCACAGACCGAATATAATTAAAGATGAGCTCGATTGCAGAGTGGCGTTTGTAATCAAACGTGGTCGCTCGATAGATATCCAGTGTACATAGCTTAAAGAGAACTAAAAAGAAACACCTATCTAAAGCCCCATGGTTACCTATCATTTTTCTTTCAACTCGTATTGTGGTGAGAGCTGTCTGTAAGACAAAATTGGTAGACAGCAATTTACGTCAATGTTTACGTCCCAAATCTTGGTCATGAGAAAAGAACAAGAACAAAGCCTAACCTTGAGGAACTCAACAACCTATCACAGAAGACTTAGCGTGGGCGGATACGATTCGCAGATATATCACCGGGTTATCTAAGAAACGGCAACAAAGAAATGACAGCAGGAAAACAACCAATCAGAAGACGTTGATTCTCACCAAACAATAACGCTAATAATAATGTACATAAAAATCTACAAATATCTGTTGATTTTCTCAATAAACGATCTGCTGCCTGGTCCTTGTCTTCTGCCGTTACAATATCAGTTCGTGAAACCAATCAAACCTACATAAAGAGGTCAAATGAAGAGAAGAATGTATTCATTTGTACCTCATACAAAGGAAAAGTAGTACCACAAAAGATTGACGACTGAATGAAAGCAGCAACATACAGATGCTCCTCTGTAGCTAAGTTCGTAAAGCTATATACCACCACATCCTCTATAAGCCAGTCCAAATTGAATAAATACTCAAATTATTATTATTGTTCCCCTGGGTTCCTAGTGGAACATAGGGCTAAATACCCAAATGCGTTTATAAATTTACGTGCACTTGCGTGAGCAAGTACATTGAAAAGACAGAGGGAAGGGCTTCTATCTAGTTTTCTGAGCATTTCCCAAGAATCTTATGCCTAAAGGGAAGCACATATTCGCGGAATGCAATTACCAGACATTTTTGATATAAGTATAAAACTTGGGCACTGTGGTAGAGTATAAATCCATAATGGATAAGATTTTATTTTAATAAATCACACAGTGTTGTACAGTTAAATTAACTGATGACATTTCGAGCACAAACTATTGCTCATAATCATATCCTCATACCAGACATTTTGTGGACACTAGTCATTCCGTCAAGATTTCCAAATCCTTCAAAACAGTAAATTGTCTAAGATTTGCTGAAGCAATTGCAATCAAATCAAACTTAAATGTGCAGAAAAGGAGTGTAGTCAACCTCTCACTCCCATTGTAAACTGCATTTTGATTACATTGAAGAGTCATCCATATTAATGATTTTAGCTTGCTGGACAAGTTTCCAATTTTATGAACTATAACCTTCTTGAGTCGCTATGTGAACCTACAAGTTGCAAGATTTGTCTGTTTGCTGTCGCCTTCTGCTCCCTTGTTTTCTATTTTGAAAGCATATAAATCGATGGTATCTTAAATTGTAAAATTGCAGTGCTTATATTTAGGATGCTGTGATACTAAAATGTTTTCTCTGCTACCATTGGGACCTTGAAGTATGTTATTGTCATTATTTATAACCTTTGCAATTTCAGGTAGTCTGCAGTTGATGAGAACCTATGAAATAGAATGATAATATTTTATACTTCAAATCTGCTCTTTTTACATTTCGCCCATTATGCAGAGTCTTCTGAACACCTTGAGCTGCAATGACGAAATCTCAGCACGAATACAGAGGGCTAGGTTCGCAAATGCCAGTTTACGCCGTCTATGGTGTAGACGTGATATCCGATTATCGACCAAAGGGAGTGTGTACTGCTCATCAGTCCGCCCCGTCCTCCTTTATGGCTGTGAGACCTGGCCATTGAGAGTGGAAGACGTGAAAAGATTAGCTGTCTTTGATTATATGTGTCTGCGTTCTATCTCCCGTGTGGAGTGGTATAATAAGGTGAGCAATATTGAGGTTAGGCGTCGAGTGCTAGGTAAGGAGGGGAAATCAGTCGACGAGACTGTGAAGTTACACCGACTGAGATGGTTAGGAAATGTGCTGCGTATGCCTAGTCATCGCCTTCCTCGACAGTGGGCAATGTTAGCTGATATAAGGGCATGCTGGAAAAGAGCTAGCGGCGATCAAACGAAAACATGGCACTAGTCAATGAAATCCACAACAGTTAGTTTAAGCCACGTAGGAAGGTGTAGACTTTCTGGTTGGGGTCCTCGGGACGGTAAAAACCAATGGTTGGAAACAATTGGTGACATGGCTCAAAATCGTTCTCAATGGCACAGATGCATCCACACCTTGTGACTTATGATTTCAAATGAAACTATATCGTTCTTCGTTATTACTATTCTTTTTGACTCATAACTCTGTTTACTGTCTCTAATATGCATTTCTCCTACTTTCTTCTCTTGCTTTGTGTGCTACATGAAGGGAGTGTGGCGATTTGAGCTACCGCACATATGTGCAAAGTTCTATGTCGAAAACAGACAGACAGACATTTCGCCACTTTTTAATCTACAATAGACTAAAAGTGAAACGGAAACTTGAATAGCACAGGGATTCGAGCTATGCACTCCCCTAGATTTTATTATTTAATTCGTTTTCGTTTCGAGTGAGACACACTGGGCTTCAAATTTTGAAGCATCCCTAGCGGTGATACTTTCTATTCCCCGGGGTGTGGTTGTTAACCTCTCGCCCAACATTCCCGGCAGATGAGGTTTATGTGTGAGCTCGCTGGCCAGGAGCCGGACCCTAACCAAATACAAGGTGGGCTATTATTTTATCCCTGAACCACCTGCGCACCAATCACCTAGATTAACTAGTCTGTAAATCTAATGATCACGCCACAGGACTCGCTCGACTCCTCATAATATATAATAAGAAGCAGTATTTATGAAGTGGAGATGCTCAATATTTTCTTTATTTCAAAACAAAAATAATATACAAAATTTTCCACAATATTTAAACATCATCCTGTGTAAGAAAATATTAAATATTTTTATGAAATGAGATTAATTAAACTATCAAATGCATTGCGGGCTATGCAGTTGAATAAATAACCAGGATAAAGTAGGTTATCTTTAATAACAATAATAATAATAAATTCTAAACACTTCCTAAAGCACATACACACATGTACAACTGGGAAAGATAATACTTTATCACGTTGCCTACTATTGAATAATATATATATATATATTCAAGTTTCTTCAAATTTGCTTAGTTTGTACACACAGATCTAACGTGTACTCCTGGTTAATAATGACAGTTATTGTGAGAAATGATGTGATCTTGATTACTGTTGTTTCTCCCTGTAGATAGATTATTATCATCAGATGTCTTTGAAGTGAAAATTTCTTTTGATTGATGCCCAGAAAGTAAATACAATGAACACTGTTCCAGTGATTCAACACATGAATTGAAACAAGGTCTAAGAAAAATAAAAGGAATAATAAATAAAAAAAGTACTGATTGTTTATTTTCTTCAATTTTTAACGTTATTCATTATGAATGAAATAAACACAAAAATATAAAGAAAATATTAAATTTAAAAAAATAAGATTCGATGGAGGATTTCATCATGAGCTGACATCAGTTAGAGAACCATCAGGAAACCTGAAGGGAGTACTGGACAGCTGTTCCGTCAACCTAGTTTGGGACTCTTCATCAGTACGCACCCACCGCGGAGGGGGTTGAACCCAGGACCTTCCAGTTACAAGGTCAGGGACCTTGTAGACGATTGAGCCACTGGAACCCGATCCATTAGCCCATGAATTCTAACTTCTGCCAATTCACGACATAGCGCGACCATTTCGCAATGTCTTCTTCGATGAGTTACTGCCTCACCTTCAACCACCTGTTGTACCCTACTGGTCACGACTTCCCACTAGAACCTGAATAGGACCAGCCGCTAGTGAGCATCAGATTAATTTTCAAGCAATGGTTTTGTAGGGATTTTGTTTGATTGGATGGAGGATTTCGTCATGAGCTGACATCAGTTAGAGAACCACTGGAAAACCAGGGAGTACTGGACAATAGTGGTTCTCTAACTGATGACACCTTATGATGAAATCCTCCATCCAATCAAACAAAATCCCTAGAAAACCAATACTTGAGAAAAAGATTCCTTAGTAAAAAGAGATTTCAGACTGCTTATAAGGTGTTGTGTAGATAAGTACTTTGAAGGAAGCCTTCTAAACTACAGAGCATTACTTAAGCTGATGATTCTTGAACCTAATCAACAGAGGAGTATTTGAAAAATGAAAGAACTCGTGGATATAAGAACAAAAAGTTCAGTGAAGAGTCTTTATTCGGTGAATTCATTCACTTAGCTGTACAACCGCATCTATACACAATCATTGTGTGTGTGTGTGTACATTAGGAGTGTTAAACAAAAAATAAAGATTAGTTCGGGTTATTGTTTACGTCATCAAACTGTTTCAAAAAGCTGATGAATAGTCAAATTGTAACTAGAGGGATGAATTTTAACCCTCTCCCACCCTATTGTGTGGTTTAATGCATGTAGTGTGATTGCTGAGCTTTTTTCTAAATTACTTACCTACATAGGGCGTACAATTAGGCAGGTTTATCATCGTATTTCCGAACATCATCCAGCATGGTTAAGCAGCAAGGGACAAACAAAATCTATTCGTAGCTCTATTTTAGCACACCTTGTTGATAGTGAGCATAAGGTTGACGTTAATACAGCATTTAAAATTATTTATCGCACTCCTACTAATCTTAATTTTGATTTACGAGTTCGTCTTCTACATACAGCTGAAGCAATAGGAATCCACCTGAAGAAGCTGAACCTGTGTGTGTTCAGAAGAAATTTGTACAGACACTTTCCTTACCTTGGCCATCGTTACATGAATGTATAAACCGGACTACTTTGCCCCCTCCCATTAAACCTTTAAAAATTATAAAGTATAATTGTCCAAATTATTTTATTTTTATTTCTGACTACTTCATCTTTAATTACATGTTATATTTGTAAATTTATTTTATTCTTATGACTACTTCAGCCTTAGTTACAAGTTATCATTATTTTCTTTAACAATCTGTTACATAATCAACCTGTGCACACGCTCATTCCTTGATTAATCTTCACTTTTCAAAATTGTGCATTATACAATCCACGTGTTGTAACCTTTTAATTGTGTGTATTAATACATAATATATAACAGATGGAACGAAATTCCAAAAGGTGAACAACCCAACAGATCTAGACGGAAAAACTGAAAAGCAGCTAACTAACACGCTTAAGGAGCTGAGAAAAAGTGGAGTAATCTCAGAGGCAGCCTACAATCGTCTTAAACCTACTGGAAGTAATACTTCACGATTGTATAGTCTGCCCAAATTACATAAACCAGGAATTCCTCTTCGCCCAGTCCTAGACATGTCTAATTCCACCTACCAAGGAGTGGCAAAGTGGCTAGGTGAACTCCTCCAACCGTTACACGAGAAGGTAGTAAATCATAGTGTTAAAGACGTTTTTGAATTTGTTGCTAACGTATATGATATTAATGTAAATGGGAAGCAAATGCTATCCTTAGATGTCGCATCACTGTTCACCAATGTACCATTTATGAAGACTGTGGAATTCATATGCCAACAGATACTAGAAAAACAGTTCGACATCGGAATTCCAGTTATTAGTCTGAAACATGTACTATGAATGTACACTTCACATTCAACAACCTTTAATACAGACAAATCTATGGTATTGCCATGGGTCCAGTTTTGGCAGATTTCTTTCTTGCTAAGCTTGAAAATGGTCCATTGAAAGAAGTAATAGATAAAACTGATTCTTATTTTCGTTATGTTGATGATACGTTCATTATTCTTGATGTGAAAGCTGACAAGAATGAAATGTTAATAAAATTTATTGATGTACATCCATCGCTCATCTTCACTTGTGAAGAAGAACATGATGGTATATTACACTTCCTTGACGTCCAATTGAGTAGAAGAGAGGATGGTTCACTCAAGAGAGATGTCTATAGAAAACCTACATCTGTAGGACAATATACACATTTCCTCAGTGCTGTACCAATCCGATACAAAATCAATTTGGTCATATGCCTCATGAATAGAGCAAGACGTATCTGTACAGATGACTCCCTAGAAAATGAGTTGGGATACATCCAAAATACGCTGGTCTAAATGGGTTATCCTAGTAGATTTGTAAGCAGACACATGAACACCAGGTACAATAAAGAGAAACTGACAACACAGTTAAAAAGAAACAAATGTTCATGAAATTGTAATTTAATGGGACGTGGCTAGCGGAGTCGTACATCTGAGATTATCGAGAGCAATAAAACGAACTTATACTGCCACCAACCTTTGTTTGTCATTTTCCAACCGACCAATTATGATTGCTCAAGCGGAAAACAAGCTACCTAGCTGTACCACTTCTATATGTATCTACAAATTTAGTTGCTCCTGTGGAGAAAGCTATATGGGGCGAACAACTAGACAGCTTAACAAACTCATTAATGAGCATCTTCCTTCATGGTTCGGAAAAGGTCAAATAAAATCTATAAGAAGTTCTATTTTGCCTCATTTGATTGATGATAGCGGTCACCAAGTGGACAAAAATAGTGCCTTCAAAGTTGCCTATCGTATTCCATCGAGTCTTTCGAACGGAAGTCGAACCCGTCTTTAACACATAGCCGAAGAAGCTATGGGAATTAATTCGAGAGAACAATCCTAGTCTTTGCATACAAAAGAAGTTTGTTCTACCTTTGTCTCTACCTTGCTTGCCTAGGTGAATTCTCCATCTCCTTCGTACTTTTATGATATTTATTTAAACTCTGATTATCTGTCCACTTCACCTTTAGTATTACGTAACTTTTAAGACTTGACCTAGTAATTTATTTATTGAGTTGTCTACATATTGCTACCTTTGTTATTCTTATCGCCACCTACATAAACTTTATTATCATTATAATCATCGTTATTAACTACGTTCAAGACATTTACCACATTATTATTACTATTATTATATTTGATCTACAAAATCACCGTCATTGGTTAAAATTTTTTCTACATAGAGCTATGCAAATTAGAGTAAATTTTATATAGTTTGGTTTGTAAGGGTTAGTTATGTTTTACGAGTTAATCACGGATTGATATCAGTTAGAGAACCAATGAAAACCAGAGAGTACTGGACAGCTGTTTCATCCTAGTTTGGGAATCATCGGCAGTACGCACCCACTGGGATTCGAACCCAGGACCTTCCGGTTACAAGGCAAGTTCGTATACCATTCAGCCACTGGGACCCGATTCAATGGCTCATGAATTCTAACTTCTACCAACTCGTGATTTAGTGCGACCGCAACCAATGTCGTCGGTGGGACATCCATCCATCCTCACACGTGACATCTGGATGGACCTTACTGGTCACGACTTCTCACTATAACTCCAGGAAACTGTCCAGTACTCCGTGGTTTTCAATGGTTCTCTAACTGATATCAATCCGTGATCAACTCGCAAAAATTAGAGTAAAACTTGAACAAGATCTAACTGAAAACAACAGTATTGTTCGCTTATATGTCTTGTATTAATATTCTTAATCATTCAATCATATCGTTTTCGTTATATCTGAGAATTTGTTTTGTCTTTTTACAATAAGATATGTGCATTACTTTATGGTGAAAGCTCATTTCTAAGTGCTCATATTACGGAGTGCACGTCGTTTTAAGTGAAAATAACACATTACGCTAAAAATGAAACACTGAAAGTGTTATTATATATGTATGTGATTGACATTTATTCTCTTCTTTTCTACATGAGTAAAATATAAAAAAACCCACTTCAGACAAACGTGTTTAGCAATATGTATGATGTAAGGGATGTATTGAGTATTGTAGGTAGATAGATGTGTTACTGTTGACTGTCGACAGACATTTTTGGTTGTTGTTTTGTTGATTTATTGCATTAACTCTCTTCTGTCGACTGACTCATGTGATGATATTATTATTTTAAGCAAAAAATAGATCTCTGCATAAATACACTTAAATGTATAAGGCTCATTGAAAACATGGTAGTACTTGACAGTTATTTATTTAGTAACAGTTTGAAACTCTACTCAGTAGCACGTATCTGTAACTTTTCCAGGGTTCAAAGTTATGACTAACAGATTACGAAGAAAAAACACGTTACAGCTCAATCAATAAGTTGGATTTTAGTAAATAAATGGCTACTAAATCATATAGAAAATCCCAATACAATTAATCTGAATAGAAATCCAGCATCATCTATTGCAAAACATTTATTAATGTCAGGTCACAAAATCAATATTAACGACTGTTTCACAATTATTTCATCACATAACTCTAATTCAAGGTTGGTTATTGAAGGTGATGGAAGCACTTTGGATTGATCACATACAGCCTAAACAGTATGTACAGTCAAAACAATAGACTTCAATCTTCGCCTACCATGGACTACATGACCTATTTAAATATGATTGGTCGTTAGTATGTACTTTTGTTTTTATTTAACTGAGTAATTGTCATGAACTTTATTTTATTTTATTATTGTTAACCATGTTAGTTGTAAAGCGGTTGTAAAGAAACTACGAAATGATGCCATCATCCCGCGAAATTTGTCTTCTAAATGCCTTATTCAAATAAATAAATTAATTAATTAATTACGACTATCACCTTCTGTCACTTCAAAAGAAAAACATTATAGATACAGAATTCCGTAGCTCAGGTGAATTACATAAAAGTGGTTGTATTCTCTAAGCTGAATGGCTTAATTGCGAAGGTCTCATTATTTCTCTAGACAACATCTGTAGTTTTGATTTCAATTTGAAGTGAGTTTGGTTACAGGATTTCATCATAAACCAACATCAGTTAGAGAACCATTCGAAAACCAACTGGGAGTACTGCCAGACATCTATTTCGTCCTAGTTTGGGACTCTTCATCAGTAAGCACCCACCACGGGGGTTCGAACCCAGGACCTTCTGGTTACAAAGCCAGCTAGCTCGTAGACCATTAAGCCACCGGGATCCGGTCCAATGGCCCATGAATTCTAACTTCTGCCAATTCACGACATAGCGCGACCGCTAGCCAATTTCTTCGGCGAGTATTTGTCCTCACCCTACTGGTCCCTACTTCCCACTAAAACATTACTTTTTAAGTAAATGAAAAACATACAGTTGTAATAAATGTGAAGAATATAAATTGTGTGTGTGTCTGTGGATCATGTGCGTGCTTCATGACCTCGTCTAGCTGGTAGTAATCCCATAATAAAGCAAAAGGTTGAGCGTGAGGTTAACACCCTCACCACTACTGAAAATCCCAAAAGCTTCAGGCTCTAAACTCCACTCGGAATGCAAGGGGTGAAAATGCATTATTGGATTTAGAGATTCTACTAATTATATCGCATTGTTAGGTAGTAGTATTGTTGGGACTCAGTTATCCAGAAGAAATTTCTCATGTTCTGAATAACGAGCAACATTTTATTTAAAGTGTGGTTGGAGTGGTAATAGGTGATGCTGGGAATTGAATCCAGGGTCCCAGTGAAGCTATCCCGTCATCATTTTTTTAATACATCGTCTCTCTCTCTACTGTAATAAAAAGGAGCTCAAAATATCTTACTAAAAACAGTAAGAAATACCGTAATCAACTAATTATCAATCAAAATAAGCCAACGAATAATATTATACCGCCATTGTAATATAAAATTATTAAGAACATTCCTCATGTGAATATAACCACCTGATAGGTATTGATTTATTAAGCGGCTAACTGGAAAATAACAAGAAAAATACACGCAGGCAAATTTTTTTCTTTTCATAACAATTAACATTTTATCTTCTTCAGGCTTCAGGTAATTAATCCTGCATAAATTGTTTATTTCATTCAAAAATATGCAGACATTATATGTGAGATAGATAGATATAGTTGCGTAGATTTTGATAACGTGAAAGGGAGTAGACGTGATACCCGGCTGGCTATCGACCAAAGGACGGGTGTACTGCTCCGCGGCAGTCCGCTTCGTCCTCCTTTATTGATGGATCTGAGACATGGCCATTGAGAGTGGAAGACATGAAAAGGCCAGCTAGCTGTCTTCGATCATAGGTCTCTGAGTTCTATCTTCCGTGTGAAGTGGTATACTGGGTGAGTAATATTGAGGTTAAGCCTCAGTCGAGTGCTAGGTAAGGAGGGGAAATCAATTGATGAGGCTGTGAAGCTACATCAACTGAGATGGTTAGGACATTTCTTACGTATACATCCCTAGTCATTGCATTCCTCGACGGCCAATCTTAGCTGATATAGGAAAAGAGCCAGTGGTGGTCAAACCGAAACATTGCATCAATCAATGAAATCCACAACAGTTAGTTCAAGCCAGCCACATAAAAAGGTGCGGATTTCCTGACTAGTTGGGGTCCTCGGGACGGTAAAACCAATGAAGGCTGGAGACAATCAGTGATATGGCTCAAAATCGTTATCAGTGACGTAGATGCATCCACCCCTTGTGACATACAATATCCAATAAAACTATGTGGTTATTTGATATCACTATTATTTTTGCCATATATCTCTGTTTACTGCCTCTAATTTGCATTCCGTTTTACTTCTCTTGCTTTGTGTGCTACACGTAGTGTGGCGACTTGAACTGTTGCACATCGGTGCAAGTTGTATGTTGAAAACAAACAGATAGACAGAGAGACAGTACGTTTGCCAATCACTACTCATGTGGTCCGGAGTTCGATACTCGACCGAGGCAATCCTAAACTTTACCCCAGTTTACTAATCGATATTGAGTCTGTGAAAGCGAGAAGGTGAGGCTAGTAACCCGAAAACCATAAAAACAACACTGTGAATAAAACTTCAAATTTTAGAGCCCTGTGTTCCAGTTGGAATAACACAAAGGAATGAAGAAAAGAGGATCTTGATATCACTCTGCTCTGGGGTTATCAAAAAGCTTCACCGAATTTCACGATATTCATACCAAATGAAAAAATCATTTATCGATGTTTTACGAAGACAAAAATATCATTACTAACGGGATTTCATTAGAACGAATAACCAAGATATATAAGTATAGGTGTAAAACTTGGGCACCGTGGTAGTTAGTAATTCCATATAAGCTTGTCTATTGTATGTATCACACAGTGATGGAACAGTATTATTTACTGGATGACACAGTTTCGAACAAAATTTATTGTTCATAATCATTCCATCAATTATAATCACACGACTTCGAAAATTGAATTTTATAGGTTTTCTTTGTTCTCTCCTATTTGTCTTCGTTGGGGTAATAGAATTTTCCAGATATCTGATTGGACAGGTGTTGAATGATTCCTATTACACGTGTTTGCAGTTGATTCGATAAACAAAGCCTCAGTCAGTTATCAATCTCTCCCTGCACCCTGTGACATTAGATTTTGAAACTGTCATCTTATCCCATCCACCCTATTGGATGGCTGTGTGCAATTGCATGTAGTGCTATAGCTGGACTATTCTCTAGATTTCTTATCTTATTCGGGTCAACTAATCTAGATTTTGCTAGGTTTTTATGTTCAGCTAGTCTGACTGACCCCATTCTACTACTTTGACCTATGTATCTGATCTGACAAATATTGCAGGGTATTCGGTAAACTAAACTGTTTTGTTTTAAAGGCTCCACAGGATTGATCCTTTTTAACCGACAAAGCTTGTTTCTAATTGAGTTAGTGATTTTGAATGCCAGTCACTTTTATTCTTGCCTTGTTAAGAATTCCGCGTAAGGTTTCCGAGGTTCCTTCCTTGTATGGAATTACCATTGATGATTCAGATTCTTGTGGGGCCAATTAAACAAAACAATTTAGTTTACCCCATACTCCGCATGCAATGATTCTCAGGTCAAATACATAGGTCAAAGTAGTAGAACAGGAGCAGTCAGACTAGCCGAGCATAAAAACCTAGCAAAATCTAGATTAGTTGACCCAACACTTAGATAAGGAATATACAGAATAGTTCAGCTATCACACTCACCACATGCATTTACACACAACCATACAAGAGGATGGATGGGATAAGATGACAGTTTTAAAATCTTATGTAACAACGGGGTGGAGGGAGAGACTGATGGCAACGGAAGCCTTGTTTATCGAATGAACTGCAAACACGTGTGATAGGAATCATTCAACACCTGTCCAGCTAGACATTTGAAGAATTCCTCTACCCCTGCGACGAAAAATAGGAGAGAAGAAAGAAAACTATAAAACTCAAGTTTCGAAGTAGTGTGATTATAACTGATATGATTGATTATGAACAATAAATTTTGTTCGAAACTGTGTCATCCAGTAAACAGTAATACTGTTTCACTCACTGTGTGATACATCTACTAAACAAACTCATATGGAAAGATATATAAGTGTATCACTACACTCACCTTTCTCTTGGATCTAATGAAACACATTGTGTAGTTATATCCAATAACATTGGAGGTATATTTGTAGGGAAAGTGTTCAACTTAATAAGTTCATTCATATCAACACACATTGTATCTCCATCACGAGGAATTCTGTCTGGATCAGCATCTGAACGTAATAACAGTTGACACATAATTACTCCAAATGAATAAACATCAACTGAATTATCATATGGTCGTCCGGCTAACATTTCAGGTGCCATCCAATAAGCACTGCCAACCTTTTTAAAAAACAAAACAAAGATGATGATGATGAAATCAAGTGAAAGAGGAGTTCGACTGGATGAAACCGTAGCGACCACAGCAAACAATGCGGTGAATGACCTAATAGGAACAGTTACCGAGGTCCGAAATCACAATCATTGTCGACAGGACAAAACAAAAAGTTTACAACTGAAGATAACCTTGGGTTCCGAGGGAGCATCAACAACACCCCTTCACTTATTTCCATTTTCCGATGGTCTCTCTCATTTCCTCCTCGCACAACTTTCTCACTGTCACCCTAGGATCAATGCCCAACTAGTCGTTTCCCATTCGGATTCCACTCGAGTGATGGCCTGGCGCGTGATGACATTCAACCATCTCCTTAGCATGTGCCCAGCCTATCTCCATTTTTTTCTGTATATTTGTTGAGCAATCGGCTATTGGTTGGCTTCTTGCCAAAGTGTTTTGTTACTAGTTCTTACTGGTCATTTGATCGTCAATATGCAGAGAAGGTAGCTGTTTACAAAAGTCTGCAATCTATTGGAAATAATCTTCGTAACGCGCGTGTTATGTTTCTGACCCATTTAGAAGAACCGACTGACTTAATATTGGTCTTGAAAACTCGAATTTTGTTCTTTACGCTGAATTAGTGTAGAAGATTCCCAAACTTGTTTCACATTGATGAAGGCGTATATTGCCTTTCCGATTCTGGCTGGCTGGCTTCGACATCTTCATCAGTTCCGACTGCCTGTGTTTGAAACTGTGCTTCCCTGATGAGTGAAGGAAGTAACCTCCCTCAAACATCTTCCCCTGATCGTGATTCGTGCTGGTTGTTGTTGTTGATTGGTTCGTTATCTTGATCACCTCCGTCTTCTCTATATTCATTTGCAGTCCTGTCTTCGCTGTTAGCCTTTTTTGGCCAGTTTGTTGGTGTTCGCCTGCAGGTCTTTAACTTTGTGTGGCATTAAACATAAATCATCAGCCCGCGAAATCCAGATCTTCTGGCGTCTTCTTATCGGTCGTCCAGCGTATTCCTGACTCCTCGCTCCCGAGCACAGTCTGACTCATAATCCAGTCCACCAAAATTCAGAATACCATCGATCATAATAGGCAGCCAGCTTGTTTTACTCCCGTATGCACCTCTCTGAGTTTCCCCGTGTGGATCACCCGACACGTGCCACTGTCATATAGCCAAATGTTAAATGAGGTTGATAAAAACTTGGGACACTGCACGCCATAGTCTTGAAGTCGTTTCCAAATTGCTTTGATAGTACAACGTATTTATTTAGCACAAATGAAACAGGATATGAAATAACATACAACTAGGTGAAAGTTAAATGCAATTAAAACGCAACACGAATAATCATTTTCTGTATGCAATAGCTAAATGAATGAATGCCTTCCATTTTTAATAATCCGCCTAAAATTTGAGAAACCTCATCGGTTGCCTAAAGTTGTTTAATAAACTATCAGCCTGGAATGCTATTCTTTTGATTCTGACGAATGGACAGTCATATTGAGAAGAGAATGGCATTCTTTTGGCGCATACATGACTGTGCATCACCACTCTGAGGCTGGAAACTGTGCAATTCATACATTAAAAAAAAGATTGAGTAAGAAATGATGTATACTAAATTGAATGGAATTTTATTTCGCGAGAACTTTTTTCTCCAAGGTTCAGGTTATATATTATTAGGTGAAACATCTTTTAACTGATTAAAAATGCCCATTAAAATTTTCAAAAGAATGGTTTGTGAACAAAGAATACTCTTATCGATAACTCCATCTTCAGGCTCTACAGTTATATATCCATCCATAATAGTGAATGAATGAATGAATTAGTGTTATGAACAACATTAATGTTGTTTAAATAACATCGAATCAATAATAATAATATCAATGGATTACAGTTCAATTCAAATAAACTGAATGTCAGAAAAATTAGGAAAGATAATATTACAAATTCATGAATTTATAGTCTCTAATGAAGGACGGTTAGAGCAGTAGTAGGGGCTGGACTTGCTTCTTTTGCACACAGAGCACTGGTTGTTTGAAGCGAATTGCAATAGCCTCTACTGTTTGGAGCATGCGATGCTTCGATGATTTTGGCAATTTATTGGGCATCCGGTAGATGATAGAGAAGGATTCTTCAACGCTCGCTGGCTTTGTGGCCAGTTTGCACCAGATGGTCCAATATCGAATTGTTAATGGTTTTCACTACACCTTTACTTAACCATACAGGGAGATGTTCTCGAGAGGGCACGAAAAGTCAAGTTCCTAGAGCAACGGCCGATATAACTCGCTCCACCACAAGCGCAGTTGAATTGGTAGATACAATTTGAAGTGGCTAACTAGTCTAAGTACTTCATCTTTCAGTCGAGGAATCACCACCGGTTGTGTAGAGAATAAGACATCCTTTGCTTGTTAGAAATTTTTATAAACAGATCATAATATCAGACACAGGTAAAACAAAGCATCTAAGATGCCCTACATGGAGTAGTAGAATTGACAAGTAAGTGGAGTTGATGCAGTCAAAAGTCACAGTATGCGATAATACGGAAGAAGAGGTTAAGCAAATAACGAGATGTAACATTACAACCAGGATGAAGGTAAAGCATAACTGCATCTCTACACCAATGCGATCGATTCTAAGACACATCGTCTATAGTCTCTATAATAATGAGTTTCAATGATGACACGGACCATAGTAAGGCAATCTGCACCTCTCTACACAGCTCAGATGACCAATTGTTAGTAACTTCATAGTTTAGTGTATTATGTCTCAGTGTGACAAACCTTCGCTATATTCTAACGTTGAAATAAGGATGGGGGGTGGTGTGGAATGGATTATCGATGTAGACTAGTCCTAAAGTGAAAATCTACATTCGAGAAGCTAACAGAGAAAGCTATCCGAAACAGTTACAAACTAAATTCAGAAGTCTGTATTTCGTAAATGACTTAGCCCAATAAAAAATTGCTGCTCGTGTACTTTAATTCAGTCAAGCATACTACTCCTGCAAGATCCATTTCTCTGTGAAGTACAGTTAACAAATAGAAATTTTCATGAATACTGTGAAGAATCTATAAAAATACGGAAAGCCTTCTTGAAAACACAATACTATTAGCAATCTGACTGACTGGTTTCAACACAGAACTTTGCACCGATGTGCAGCAGTTCACTTAGCACACAAACCAAGAGAAGACAGTAAAAAGAAATGCAAAATAGAGACAGTAAACAGAGTTATAAGACAAAAAGAATAGTAATATCGACGAACCATATAGTTTTATTGGATATTATAAGTTACAAGGAGTGGATGCATCTGCGCTAGCCACTGAGAATGATTTTGAGTCATATTGTAACAACAGAAGACAAGGGCCAGGCAACAGATCGTTTATGAAGGAAATCAACACATATTTATAGATTTTCATGTACATTATTATAGATTATTGTAAGCAAACAAACACAGTCTTCTGATTGGTAGTTTCTTACTGAAAGTTAATCTTTCATCTCTTTGTGGCCGTTTATTGAAGTTCAGATTATCTATCTGCAAATTGTATCCGCCTACGCAAAGTCTGCTGTGGTTGGTTGTTGAATCAGTCTTTGTTCTCATTTCTCTCACGACCAATATTGGGGACGTAAACATTGACGTAAATTACTGTTTACCAATTTTGGCTAGCAGCCAGCTCTCACCACAATATCACCAATTGTCTCCAGCCTTCATTGGTTTTTACTGTCCCGAGGACATTAATCAGGAAGTTTACATCTTCCTACGTGGCTTAAACTAACTTGTGGATTTCATTGACTGATGAAGCCATGTTTTGGTTTGACCACCACTGGTTCTTTTCCAACCGGACCCTATGTCAGCTAACATTGCCCGTCCAGGTAGGCGATCGATGACTAGGCATACATCTCAGTTGATGTAGCTTCACAGCCTCGTCGATTGATTTCCCCTCCCTCCTTACCTAGCACTCGACCGAGGCCTAACTTCAATATTGCTCACTCTATTATACCACTTCACACCGGAGATAGAACTCAGGCACCTATGATCAAAGACAGCTAGTAGGGCTTTTCATGTCTTCCACTCTCAATGGTCACGTTTTACAGCTAGGCATAAAGGAGGACGGAGCGGACTGCTGCTGAGCAGTACACACGCCCTTTGGTCGATAGCCAGCCGGATGTCATGTCTACTCCAGAGAAGGCGTAAACTGGCATATGCGAAACTTGCCCTCTGTATCCGTGTTGAGATTTCGTCAGAGTTCTATGTTGAAGCTCAATTACTTTACATTAACGCACACGTCTTCACTTACTACTTGTACATCTCAAAGTTTGTTTACATAAAAAAACTCCATTCAAATTGGAATATTGAATCAAAATTTACTTACCACAGTATGCCTTCTTGGATGATTATGTGCATGATGCCGTCTTAGACGCGGAGTATGACTACGTTCATTATCACTGTTAATCATTGAATCTATAGAATCTTGAGATGGTAGTATATTACTATTTGTTACAGAATTGTTGTTTATCTCTTCTACTTTCTGTTTACTCGAGGGTATTGATTGAGCCAACTTTGATAAGCCGAAATCAGCTACCACTACAGAATCATCCTGAATGATATAGAAAAAAATAAAGAATGATAGGCTTATTCAATCACAATTAAGAATTTTGATATAAGAATAGAATTTGGACAATGTGATGGAGCATAATTTTGTTTATTTGGGTTTTAACATGATTCCACACCGTATTTTTGGTACAGGTATGGTATTTTCATCATGTGATATCGGTAGCCCAAATTTTGCAGGCGGACTAATTGATTTCAGGTGTGAGTCGGTAGGGGATCGAACTCTGGACCATTTGCATGGTCGGCAAGAGTCCTAACCACTGTGCCACCGACTACTGATCAAACACCGTTTATGTAACTCCATCATTTCTTATGGATTAGGCAGACACTGGAGAGACTATCGAATGACATCGCACGAGTGGAACCCGAATGGAAGACGACCATTGGAGCGTACGAGGGTGACACGGAGGAGATCGGAGATTATGGGTAATCTTGGGGCCAGCTAGAGAGGACCTCAGAAAATAGAACAAAGTGGAGATGTGCTGCGAAAGACTTATGTTTCACTCGGAACCCAAAGAACAAATAATTTCCATAGTGTAGATTCAAACGTCACTGCTTTATTACTTCTAACAGACTGTAGCTCTCTCCCACCCTATTGTGCGTTAATGTGCGCATTCCAATTGCTGAGTTTTTCTCTAAACTATTCATCTTACTGGGGTCAATCATTTTATGCTTATCTAATTTATAATGACAATACTCGATTAACTGGTCTGACCCATATATTTGACCCCATAGTCACTGCTAGGTATTTTGTAGATTACATTATTTTGTCTAATTGGGTCGATAGGGTCCTTTAGCCTACACAGCTTATCCCTGACTAAGCTTGTACGTTAAATGTTTTTTACGACTTATCAGTAGAACAATTGAAAACCAGGGAGTGAGTATTGAACAGAAGTTTCGTTCTCATTTGGGACTGTTTACAGTACGCATTTATAACCCCACAGCAGACCGAACCCACGACATTCAAGTCACGAGGCCAAGTTTGTTGATATTCCTTCATTGGGACGGAATCCAGTGTATTCGAAATTCTATCAACTCATGATTTTCAGCGTCACCACCAGCCAATGCATTTCGATCCCCGATGAGGGCCTTGGTTGCGTACTGACGAAAAGTAACAGACTAAGACGAACAGTCGTCTGATGCTCCCTAACTGATTCTTGATTCCACACCGTATTTTTGGTACAAGTATGGAATTTTCAGCATGTGATACCGGTAGCCCAAATTTCGCAGGCCGACCAATTGACATCAGGTGTGAGTCGGTAGGGGATCGAACCCTGAACCATTTGCATGGTCGGCGAGAGTCCTAACCACTGTGCCATTGACACAGTCTTTATTTCAGTATTTGACAATATGAAATACTGTCATATATAGAATAGTTCATAAGATGTTTAGATGTTTGAAGGAAGTGTAAAATTATAGGATTAGTAGGCGAATCAAAAAGTTACATCACATGGTTATGAAGAGGTGGCGGAAGTGGAACCATAAGCAGAGCAATAATTGAACGTCGAGTCAATACCGATCACCTTATCTCTACAGCTTCTTCCTTTAAAGCCATGGATAATGAGAATAATAACTTTCTCAAAGCATTAAGTATCCAACTCGTCTGTATTGCTGAAGCTTTGACCATTAAAATAAAGAAAAGCCAAATCTCTGAATGCAGAAAAATTTTGTCCAACCCCTCCAGCTCTCATAATCTTAATCTGTCTACGCTAAAGTATGATAATCCCCCTTTCATATTTTGGTTCTACTTATTTTTTTGTTTTCTTTATTAAATGCATATACCCTTCCCTTATTACTTCGATTGTTAGTATTATTATTCTCATTTTGAACAGTTTCCGGTATTTTTTCACTTGTCGTTCCAAATCAGAAATTTTTTGCAATTTTAAATACTATCTTATAAAATTCTTCACTATGTTATGCAACGTTTTATAATTGCCTACTAATGAACAAAGCATAGAATCACAGTCGAACCTGTACCTCAACTTCATTGACTTCGAGAAGGCCTTCGACAGCGCAGACCGAGAAGTAATTTAGAAACTACTTCAACACTACGGCGTACCTCAAGTCTTTATCAACCTCATTCAACAGCTATATGACAATGCCACGTGTCGGGTGATCCACAACGGGAAACTCAGTAAGAGTAAGACAAACTGGCTGCCTATTATCACCGATGATATTCTTAATTGCGGTGAACTGGATTACGCGTCAGACTGTGCTTGGGAGCGAGGAGCCAGGAATACTCTGGACGACCGATAAGAAGACTCTAAAAGATCTGGGTTTCGCAGATGGTATATGTCTAATGACACACAAACTCGAAGACTTGCAAGCGAAAAGCAACAAACTGACTGAAGAGGCTGGCAGCGAAAACAGGACTCCAAGCGAACACAGAGAAGATAGACGTGATGAAGATAACCAACCAGACGACAGCAACAATCACCATCGACGGGAGAGATTTGACAGAGGTTGCCTTCTTCACTTATCTGGGAAGCATCGTCTCAACTACAGGTGGAAAGGACAAAGATGTCAAAGTCAGAATCGGAAAGGCAAGATACGCCTTCACCAACCTGAAACCAGTTTGGAAATCTTCCGCACTCAGCATAAGGAACAAGATTCGCATTTTCAACACCAATGTGAAGTCGGTCAATTCTTCTATACGGGTCAGAAACTTGCACTGCGTGTAACGAAAAGGATTTCCAACAGGTTGCAGATTTTCATCAACAGCTGCCTTCGCTGTATACTAAAGATCAAATGGCTGGCCAGAAAGAATAAGTAACCAGAAGCCATGAAGCAAACCAAAAAGCAAGAGTTGATCGCTCAACAAATATGTAGGAGAAAGTGGAGGTGGATCGGCATACATTGAGGAGGCCGCCGAATGACATCACATGCTAGGCCATTGCTCAAGTGGAATCCAAATGGGAAGCGACGAATGGGTGGTCAATGCGAGGGCAACATGGAGGAGATCGTGTAAGGAGGAGATGAGAGAATTCGGTCAATCGTGGACCCAGCTGAAGAAAACGGCAGAAAAGAGAATAAAATGCATATGTGTTGTTGAAACCATATGTTCCCCTCGGAACGCCAGGGAATATTACTAGAAAATAATTCGATAATTGATTCCCCCCTTTTACAATACCTATACAAACATCCTGTGAACTATTCCATATATGACATTCTATATATCATGGGAGGCATCGTTTCAACTACAGGCGGACGGAACTGATGAGGACACCATCAAAGCGAGGATCGGGAAAGCAAGGCAAGCTTTCATTTCTCTCAAGTCTGTGTGGAGGAGATCAACAGCACTCAGAATGAAAAACAAGATCCGGATTTTCAACTCCAATGTGAAGTCAGTGCTACTTACTATACGGATCAGAGACTTGGTGCTGTGTTACGAAGGCCACCTCAAACAAACCTCAGACCTTCATCAACAGCTGTCTTCGCTCAAGATCAGATGGCCGGCCAGAAAAGATCACCAATAGGGATCTCTGACAATGAGCGAACCAACCAACCTAGCAGGAACCAATTGTGCAACAAATATGCGGGAAGAAATGCAGGTGGATTGGCCATACTCTGAGAAAACAAACCATCAAGTGACATCACTAGACAGGCCATCGCTCTAGTAGAACCCGAATGGAAAGCGGCGAGTTGGTCGTCAGTGGGAGGATGACATAGAGGAGATCATGTGAAGAGGAGATGAAAGCATATGGGCAGACGTGTAGCCAGGTGAAAACGTTGGCATAGAACCGAACGCAATGGAGACGTTCGGCTGAAGCCCTATGTTCCCCTAGGAATTCAAGGAAACAATAATAGTAATAATAATAATATGACATTATTGGTTTTACCATTTGACATTTAAATATGAAATACTATAAGGTTTTTTAACAACAGTTATCTTTTATTGCACAACTGGAACTCAAAGAAAAAAAGCTTAGACAGCACCACACCTTTTATACCAATTTTCCGCCAATTGCTGAAGTACTTACTTGTCGTACATAACAATTATGCGTAGTCAGGTCACGATGAATAACTTCATGTTTATGCAAATAAGCCTACAGAAATGAATTCGTCAAAAAAAATAATAAATAAATAAATAATTAAATCATATTTCAGGTCAAAGATAAATAATATACATGACAATTCTGAGACGAAGATGATTTTAAAAAATATAGGTTTATACTAATGTTTCGACTATTAAAATATTAATAGGAAGGTGTTTGAGCAATACAATACCGCCCACGTCATAATAAAACAAGAAACTTTTTTTCAACTATACACACTTAAAGTTCAGTTGTTCTGTACTTCGCTCACGATGCGTTTTAAAAGAAACCAAAAAAAAAACTTCAATCATTAAAATGACGTAAATAATAATCATGATTACGAACAACTAGTTTGTTTCTATGAGTAATCATGTATTATTACACGCATACAGTATACTAGAATACACTTTATAGGTTATTGCTTAGAAAAGACTATGTCATACTTCGTAGAACTCTGAAGACAGCCTGTCAGTAGGGCGAGTGGCAGCTATCCCATTGGGCCATATCATTGACATTGTCACTGACGGTAGGCATTTGATATCATGCAACAAATTTGCCAGAGGAATTTTGTCAAACAGTGAGCATCCACCGCAGCACCCGCAGCTCCAACCTTGTGTCTCCACCTCAGGTAAAACAAGAGGTCTTTTCAGAAGACTTTATGCACGTACGTCTAAGTAGAAAAATTCCACTATACCATATTCCACGGCAGCACGTACTTTATGTGATGAAATAGTGTTAGGCATGAACTAACTAACCTTCTTCGCACTAATGAATAAACCATTTCCTCCACCCTTGTAACATCAACCTTTATTCTTATTATACTTCTTATATTTATGATCCTCTCAATTTTTTGTTTTTATTTGTTTATTTTTTCATAAATGTGAACGTCGTTTAAGCTGTGTTATAACAGTTAATTTTGTATTTCCCTCACTATACTATATCAACAAAACATTAGATTCAATAATCTATAACATGCTACAAATACCAAACTGAATCGACAATACTGTTTGAAACAAACTCACTGTTATTATTATTATTATTATTATTATTATTATTATATTCAATATTCTCAATTCCTACTTCGAATATTTTTGACTTTATATCGTAAATGTGGACAAATTCCTCTGGTTAATTGTTTTTTAATTTTATTTATATTTTGAGTAAATCAGATGCAATATTGTGACAAATGCTGAGAATTCCACTCTGTTTTATAAGTACTGTTTTTGGAATAAAGTAGATTATAATTATTATTACTATTATTTACTGATAAGTTGTATTCGTCAGTATTTAGTTAGCTGGTGCATTGCATTTTCTTATACGAGAGTAGTTTGTTTTTAGACGGAATTATATTAATAAAAAATATTGTTTGGAGGATTTCATTATGAACCGACATCAGTTAGAGAACCATTGGAAAACCTGCACGGAGTACTACCTTACATCTGTTTCGTCCTAGTTTGAAGCTCTTCAGAAGTACGCACCCACCCCAGCGGGGTTCGAACTCTGGACCTTATGGTTACAAGGCCAGCGAGCTAGGTCGCAGACCATTAAGCCACTGGGACCCGATCCAATGGCCAGCCCATCAATTTCAACTTTTACTACTTCATGACACAGCGCGACCATTTCGCAATGTCTTTTTCGATGAGTTACTGCCTCATCTTCAACTTGCTCTATCCAACTGGTCACGGTTTCCCACTAGAAACCCAGGTCACTGCCTAAATAGGGCCAGTCGCTAGTGAAAATCAGATTAGTTTTCATGTATAAGTTTTACAGGGATTTCTTTTTGTTTGATTGGATGAAGGATTTCATCATGAGCTAACGATGAAGTCTTCCAACCAATCAAACAAAAAAGAATCCCTACAAAATCAATACTTGAAAAACTATTGTGACTGATTAAAAATGCCCATTAAAGTTTTCAAAAGAATATGGTAACTGAACAGACGGCAACGAGTCAACTAGTTTTATGCGGATACTCTGAATTTGAAAACCTAATTTGTTAAAAAAAGGATCTAGTTCTATTATCCACCTTAGAACTAGAACGTTTCAAATCCAGTCTAGTGGATTCTTGCTATCATTACAAAAACATCAAATACGATAGATAGTAAACCTTTCTGGATAAAGGAGCACAGAGAAGAACTAAAGAAACTGATAAATGACGAAAGACTGATAATCAAAAAACCAGATAAAGAATCAGGAGTAGTCCGCCTCGACAGAAGTGACTATATCAAAAGGATGAATGGTATATTGAATTTTCAAAGAAGTTTCAAAAATATGAGGAGAAGAAATATTTCAGTAACGAAATAGAGAACGAATTAGACAGACGTTTGAAGAAACTAAGGAAGGAACAGATATTTCCTGAGAGTTTATATGAAGAAATTAGGCCAACAGGCACATAAATGCCAACAGTGTATGGCCTACCTAGAGTACATAAACAGGGGATACCGTTAAGACCAATACCTGATATGCGAAATTCGCCCTACCATGCTCTAGCTATATTGTTAGTAAACATTTTCAGACCTTTGCATGAGTAGACAGTGAAACAGAGCGTCAAAGGTGTATTGAAATTCGTAGACAAAATCAAAGATATCAATCTTAAGGACAAAAACATGATATCTCTGGATATAACATCTTCATTCATAAATGCACATCTAGTAGAAACAGTTAACTACATATGTGAACAAGTATATAACCAGTCGATAAATATTGGCATCCTGATGGAAATCCTAAAAGAATTGTTATTAAGGTGTACCATGATATGTAAATTTCGAATTTAATGGCACACTTTACAGACAAGTGGACGGGGTGACGATGGGCTACCCCCATCGGATCCCATTTTGGCTGTTTTCTTTCTAAGGAAACTAGAAAATAAACCTTTGTACAACCTCATCAGAAAATTCTCATTTTATTGCCAGTATATGGATGACACCTTTATTCATTGTGATAATAATTCGGATAGGAACACAATAATAACTCAGTTCAATGAAGTACATTTTGCTATGAAATTCACGTGCGAAGAAGAATCCCAAAATACAGTTACCTTCCTAAATTTCCTCCTTACAAGAAAACTAGATGGTAGCATAAAGAGACATTTGCATAGGAGAAGCACATGAACAAGACAATATACACATTTTCACAGTTTCTTTCCTCTCCAGTACAAAAAAAATTTAGTAAGGACCCTCAGCTGCAGACTTAGAGCTACATGCTCAGATGAGGTAATTGCAGTTGAACTGAACACTGTATATGATACCTTGATTGAAAATAGCTATCCAGACAAATTCATCAGGAAACAAATGACCAGGAAAGTTGAAAAGGACTACTCACTATCCGTAAACAAGAAGCCTTCATATATACGACTGCAATTAAAGGGCGATATACCAAGTGGAATAATTAAGGAAGAAATTAAGAAATTCAGTACAAAGGACTTTTAATGCTGGCAAACTACGAATCTTATTTTTTTACACGACCGGTGGTGATTCCCCAATCGAAAGATGAAATACATAGTCTAGCCACCTCCAGTTGTATCTACCAGTTCAACTGAGCTTATAGGGTGAGTTATATTGGACATTGTTCTAGGAAATTGATTTTTCGTGCTCAGGAACACCAACCAGTGTGGCTTAATAGAGTGTAGTGAAAAACATATACAGCTCGATATTAGACCACCTGGTCCAAACCGGCCACAAAGCTAGCATCGAAGAATCCTTCTCCATCATCTATCGGGTACCAAATAAATTGCCAAAAGCAACCAGGTACCGAATACTCCAAACAGCAGAGGCTATCGTGATTCGCCTGAAACAACCGGTGCTCTGTGTGCAGAAGAAGCAAGTCCAGCTACTACTACTACAACTACTGCCCTGGACTTCAGTGGAGACTATAAATTCATGAATTTGTAATATTATCTTTCCTAATTTTTCTGATATTCATTCAGTGTATTGTTATGTTGATGCCATCGAACTGTAATCTATTGATGCTATTAGTGGTTCGATTTTATGAATGAATAACAGTGATTACGTAAGACACTTCAAAAACACAATGGTACTGATGATAATAATACAGTGTAGTGTTTAAATAATTCATCGTTAATTATCAGTTTTCCTTTTATTCTAAGTGAATTGTAATCGCTTTCCCTATATGATTTTCGGGCTAAAAAAATCGACTGACTTTATAAATTAAACACAAAACTTCAACTACTGTATACATTGAATTTAATTGACGTTTGTTTACCTGATACATAATTTACTAAGTGGTGTTATTATGTACTAACAACGTCTATTTCACGTTTGAAGGTGAACATTTTTGACAAGTGGATGGCGTTGCTATGGGGAGTCCATTAGGCTCTTTGTTAGCGGACGTTTAAATGTCTTATGTTGAGAACTTGTCCCTTGATTTAATTTCTAAATCGCCCTTCTATAGGAGATGTGTAGATGATATCATTTTGATATGTGACGATCATGAAGATGCGAATCGTCTATTAGATAGACTTAACTCTATACAGAAACATATGAGTCTTACATGCCAGGAAGAAAGTTGCGACCAGCTTGCATTTTTAGACATACTTCTGAATCGAAGAGATGATGGTTCAATAAGACGATCAATCTACAGAAAGTCCACTTGGACAGGGCAATACCATAATTTCCACAGTTTCTGTCCATTACAGTATAAGAGAGGCTTGATGAAATGTCTATTTAAGAAGATTCAACGTATTTGCACGGCTGATGTTATAGACAAAGAAAATGAAATATTGATGGATACTCTTTTTGAAAACGGATATCCTTTAAAATGTTTAAACAGGTGTAGAAGTCAATTAGTCTTTAAACCTACAATCTATACCGCCCCTAAGAAAAATGTTTTCATCAAATTACAGTATAACGGGGAAATAAACAGTAGGGTTTTGAGGCAAAGGTTGAATTCGTTCATCCGTAGAACCTACTATGCAACCTAGCTTGTAATTATCGAAAAAGCTAAAAATATGCTCCACTGCAAACCTCAAAAGTGCACAAGTGATTATGTCACATCCCACACTATTTACCAATTTTCGTGGAGGAGTAATCGTGCTTTGCATGTTAGGGCGGGAGAGCATATTCCGAAATGGTTAGAAAAAACAAATGAATTATGGAAAACCAATAGATGCAGATGTCAGACTACCAACTTCGTCTATAGCTAAATATCTAATCGAGATGAACCATAAGACTGATGTTAACTCATCCTTTAAGGTCATCTATAAAGTGGTCAAGGGAGCTTACTGAAATACGCTGAGGCTATAGCTATTCATAAACTTAAGCCCCTGCCCCCTTGTGTATTCAAAAACAGTTCATTATTACTCTTAACCTACCTTGATAATCCTTATTTGATTGGATTGGATTACCAAACGTTCTGTTAATCATTCTTAAATCCTTTTTTGTTACTTTTTTTAGTTTAATTGCCCTTAATTTTTTCATATACATCGACTTCACAAGTAAATGTGTAAGAGATCAGATTGTTCGAAATGTATAGCTCAAATACATCACCTTTTTCAGATAAGGTGCCTGATTTCTATCTCCCGTATTAGGTGGTATAATAGGGTGAGCAATATTGAGGTTAGGCCTCGGTCGAGTTCTAGGTTAGGTGGGAGGGGAAATCAATCGACGAGACTGTGAAGCCGCTGCATCGATTGAAATGGTTAGAACATGTGTTGCGCACGCATGCACGCCTAGCCATAGCCTTCCTCGACAACAGGCAATGTTAGCTGACATAAGGTGGATGAGGTTGGAAAAGAGCTAGCGGCGGTCAAACCAAAACATGGCTTCATCAGTCAATGAAATCCAAAACAGTCAGTTTAAGCCAGCCAGCCACACGTAGAAAGGTGTAGACTTCCTGATTGGTTGGGGTCATCGCGATGGTAAAAACCAATGACGGCTGGAGAAAATCGGTGAATGGGCTCAAAATCGTTCTCAATGGATGGCGCAGATGTATCCACTCCTTCTGACTTGTAAATTCCAATGAAACTATATTGTTCTTCGTTATTAGTATTCCATTTGTCTCATATCCCTGTCTGCTGTCTCGATTTTGCATTTCTTCTACTTACTTCTCTTGCTTTGTGTGCTACATGGAAGGAGTGTGGCGACTTGAGCTGCTGCATATCGGTGCAAAGTTCTATGTTGAAAACAGACAGACAGACAGAACCTGATTGGGAAGCAACGATTTGGGCATGTATCCGAGGGTGACATGGAGGAGCCCGTCTGTGAAGGAAATGAAAGCTTATGAGTAATCGTGTAACCAGCTAAAAATATGGCTGCAGAGAACAGTGTGCAGTGGAGATGTGCTCCTGGAGTCCTGTTGTTCATTCACAACCCAATGGAATAACAATAATAATAATAAAGCCATGTGCATCATTATAAGCAATGATTTTATGCTAACTGTGTAGTTTGTCAAATAAATATATTTATTACTGAATTTCCATTGTGCCATAGTGATCACATTCTTCTCATACATTAAATAAGTGTGACAGTTGGAGGCTGTCGACTACAAAACTAGAGATCTATCGTAGTAGTAGCAGCAGTCGTAGTGTGGTGAGAGCTGTCTGCACGACAAAATAGTAGACAACAATTGACGTCAATGTTTACGCAACAAATCCTGGTCACGAGAAAAAACAAGAACAAAGCCTAACCTTGAGGAATAAAACTTGTGCACTGTGGTAGTGTGTAATTCCATTATGGGCAAGTTTTGTTTTGATAAAGTCTCACAGTGTTATACAGTAATGTTTACTGATGACGTTTCGAGCACAATTTATTGTTCATAATCATATCAAGGTAATCACACGACTTCCTAAATTCATTTATATAGTTCCGTTGTTTTTCACTTGATTTGATTGGTAGTAGTATTTTCCATATTTTGGGTATGAGTGATGAATCATTCCTATTGCATGTGTTTACACACTTATCAAATCCAAAAATCTACACCTGGTTTTGTTATCTTTACCAATTGGCCAATTTGACAACGCAAAAATGACCTCATGCTGAGGAACGATGATTAAGTTGTTATGCATAAGCTGAGATTTTGTAAATTTTGGCTTAATAATACCACTTTGATAAAGCTATTAGCATTAAATAGCGAAACGTCAGTAAAAGCAATATCGCTTTGTTTTTCATTCATTGGGAAATACAAAAAACCTTTATTATAACAACATCCTTAATTATTATATTTACAGCTTTCAATCAATAGGATGAGTTAAATCGAACGAGAAAAAATTGGATCTTACCATGCCTTTTGCAATATCATGACCAAACGATGTTATCTTATTCCAATCGAAGGTGTATTTCACCGCATCCAAGCATAATACATGTAAACTTCCCTTAGCGATATACTCAGTAATCAGACAAAATTGTTTATTTCGAATAACTACACCAATGATGGTTAAAATATTCGGATGTTTTAAATTTTGAAGGAGAGAAACCTAAAAAAAATGGAAAAAAAGACAAGTTTGGTGTGGGGGATGGAAGCGAGGATTATAAACAAGGATATGTAATAAAGTTTAAGCTGTGGGTTAAAAATATCACAAACTTTAAAAGTGAAGTGATGGGAAACGAAAAGTTAGACATTTTATAAAAACGATCAACTGCGAATTGATCGTATTGTGCTCGCCTTGTGACCAGACACGCTTTATAGCAAGAACAACAGTTTTTGCAGAATAAAATGGTACCATCATCGGTTATTTCGTTGACTTCTCATCAGCTGCCTATAGACCAAATTTATTATTAAGTTTATCTACAGAAGCAATTTTAACATACTTGCAAAGACCGTTCATTTTTAAAAACACAAAGGGATTCCATAAAACAGCTAGTTCACTATAAACACATCCTGTAAAAACCTCCAATTAACATCTGAGTCAAATTTTCTGAATTACCGAAGCTATAGATGCAGCGGGAAAGAAATATGTGTAGGGCTACAGCCCCATACCGATTACAAACTGCCTAGTTTATGAATATTACTAGAGGTTACAGAATCGGATATACGACTACCCTGTGGTTGATTTGTGCGTAAGATTTACTTCCATAAGAAGTGTGTATTATCTGTAAATATGACTTTCTAAGAGTAATAATAGACCCCAAGATATAAGTACTCTGTGTTGCAATGCTCGATGGAGTGACTAGTTGTCTTTATAGTCAAATATAAAATTAAAACTTGACAAAGTGTATAGAGCAACACGTGACTATCAACTTCCTCACTCTCTGTCTGTTTTCAACATAGAACTTTGCACCTATGTGCAGAAGTTCAATTCGCCACTCCTTCTCTATGTAGCACACAAAGCAAGAGAAGAAAGTAGAAGAAATGCATAATAGAAACAATAAACAGGGATATGAGACAAATGGAATAGTAATAACGAAGAACAATATAGTTTCATTGGAAATTATAAGTCACACGGAGTGGATACATCTGCGCCATCCATTGAGAACGATTTTGAGCCATTTCACCGATTTTCTCCAGCCTTCATTGGTTTTTACCGTCCCGAGGACCCCAACTAATCAGGAAGTCTACACCTTCCTACGTGGCTGGCTGGCTGGCTTAAACTAACTGTTGTGGATTTCATTGACTGATGAAGCCATGTTTTGGTTTGACCGCCGGTAGCTCTTTTCTAACCTCATCCGCCTTATGTCAGCTAACATTGCCCATTGTTGAGGAAGGCTATGGCTAGGCGTGCATGCGTGCGCAACACATGTTCTAACCATTTCAATCGATGCAGCGGCTTCACAGTCTCGTCGATTGATTTCCCCTCCCACCTTACCTAGAACTCGACCGAGGCCTAACCTCAATATTGCTCACCCTATTATACCACCTAATACGGGAGATAGAAATCAGACAGCTAGTCGAGCTTTTCATGTCTTCCACTTCCAATGGTCATTGATGTCTCACTCACAGTCATAAAGGAGGACGGAGCGGACTGACGCTGAGCAGTACACACGTCCTTTGGTCGATAGCTGGATATCACGCCTATGCTAGAGATGGCGTAAACTGGCATATGCGGAACGAACTTTTTGTATACATGCGGAGACTTCGTCAGCGATCAACCTGCTGGAGCTGGTTGATGCAACTTCCCAAATAAGTGAAGCGTTCAACGTGCTCTACCACTTCCTCACTAGGTTGTTAGTGTTAAGAGATGTTCTTCTAATAGAGTTACTATAGATTTTGTAATGTATACATCAAATATTTCAATGATCTTGCTTCTTCGTGTATCGACCAACAACATTATTTTATCTATAGCCTTTAAAAGTATGTGATAGGATAAAATAGATAGATAGACAGATAGTTAAACAAAACGTCGATCAGTTAAATTTAGCTAACTCTTACTAAAACTGTGAATCGTTTGTTTATACAACACTTATCGAGTCCTGTTTAATGTATAAATAAATGTATATATGCATATATTAAGATTAATTAAAAAGTTACTCACTTCACGCACAAGTGTCTCTTCAATCGCTTTACTTTGTTCGATAACTTCTTTAAGAACCAATAAACAACCCAATTGTCGATGCTTTACCTGTAAAACAAAAAAGGAATGATAAGAAAATCGACTGATACATTACCTTAGTTAGCATATAATAAACAGATATCAAGAAGAAATGAATGTTGATAACATTTTTTGAATGATGCCTGTTACTCATAATTATTGGACAAACTACTTGAATGGAATCATTTGAATGCACAAGTTTGTAATGAACTAGTTTTAAACACGAGAAGAGGCAGGACTCCAAGTGAACAACACACAGAGAAGACAAAGGCGATGAAGATGGGAAAAACAATACAGACCTTCAATGCTCTAAAATCAGTGTGTGAAACTCTACTGCACTCAATATTAAGGAACAGGATTCAAATTTTCAACACTAAAATGTCGAATCAATACTTCCGTATGATTCATGCGCGTCAACAGACTACTGTAGATTTTTATCAACACCTGCTGTTGCCGCCTAGATACTGAAGATTAGACGGCTGATCAGAAAGGATAAGCAGCAAAGGACTCTGCAATGCAGCAACGAACCAACCAACCAAGAACCTATTGCCCAACTGATGTGCCGAAGGAAATGGAAATGGATCGGACACACATTGAAGAGACAGTTGAGTGACAGACATCACACACTAAGCACGCCCTCGAGTTTAACCTGAAGGGGAAGCAACAAGTTGGGTGCGTGTACGTGGGTGACATGGTGGAGATTGTATGAGAAGGAAATGAAATATGTATACAAATTTACATGTATCTGCGGGAGCAGTTACATTGGAAGAACAGAAAGAAGGGCATATCTACGATTTTCTGAACATGTACCAAAGAGCTTGACACGGGTCATGAGATGGACGTCGCAAGATCGTTCAAAATTATCAATAGGCAAAAGAGCTCAATTCTCCTCAAGTTTTTTGCTGAAGTCATCTCCATCAAGCGCCTGAAAGCTGATTTGTGCGTTCAGAAAGAAACAGTTATCAGTCTTTCTTTGCCCTGGTAACTGGATATGTTCACCTCTCTTTCATCTGATTACATAATGCCGAAAGTTTCCATTGTGTATGATCATTACTGTTCGGAATAGTGTTTAATATTATTATATATAATATTACTGTATGCGTATATTGACCGATTGATATTTGTTTAAAAATGAACTGTCTGTGCAAGTATGTCAAAATCGTTTGTGTAGATATATCTAATAATGACTGTGGCCTGTAAGCAGCTGATGAGAAGCCAGTGGAATAACCGATGATGGTACCATTTTATTCTGCAAAAACTGTTGTTCTTGCTTTATTGATGAATTTGATTTTCCTGATTGCAGTAGATTGGATAGTGCAACAGAAGGCGGGCAGCGAGGAAACAAGTATAAATGGACTCACACAAAAACTTGGAGGATCTGGACTTCGCCGATGATATATGTCTGATTTCCCATAAACTGGGAGATATGCAGGTGAAAAGCAACAAGTTGGCAGAAGAAGCACCCAGAGAAGGTAAGAGGGGGTTCAGGTGAACATGGAGAAAACAGAGATGATGAAGATTCCTGGCCAACACCAACAGGAGCAGCAACAACAACAACAGACAACAATCAGCATAAATGGAAGGAACCTGAAAGAAACAACATCCTTTACCTACCTGGGAAGCATCGTTACAACTACAGATGGACGAATCTGATGAGGACATCATCAAAGCAAGTATCGGGAAAGCAATACAGGCTTTCATTTCTCTCAAGTCTGTGTGGAGGTCAACAGCACTCAGCATCAAAAAGTAAGATTCGGATTTTCAACTCCAATGTGGAGTCAGTACTACTATACGGATCAGAGACTTGGCGCGTCGTAAAGAGCACATCAAAAAAACTACAGACCTTCATCAATAGCTGTCTTTACTCAATACTCAAGATCAGATGGCCGACCAGAAAAGATCACCAACAGGGATCTCTAGGAGCGAACTAACCAGGAACCAATTGTGAAACAAATAGGCAGGAAGAAATGGAGATGGATTGGCTGGACATACTCTGAGGAAACCATCAAGTGATATCACTAGACAAGCCCTTGAGTGGAACCCGACTGAATGGGAAGCGGCGAGTTGGTCGTCAGTGCAAGGGTGACTTGGAGGAGGTCATGTGAAGAGGAGATGAAAGCGTGTGGGAAGACGTGTAGCCAGGTGAAAACTCTAGCAGAGAACCGAACGTAATGGAGACGCACGGCTGAAGCCCTATGTTCCTCTAGGAATTAAAGGAAACAATAATAATAATAATGTACAATCATATATATATATATATGTTTTTAAGAAATTATATCCGGTGAGGGAATTAGATCAAAAGTGTGAACACATGAAATAATAATAATAATAGTATGAAAGGCAATCAAAATATTTGTGATTATAATAATAGTTAAATGTCAAGTACCAAAGCAATTAATGTCATATACAGAATAATAAATAAGGCGTAAAGATGTTGGAAAGGGGTGCATAATTACAGGATTAGTAGGCAAATATAAAATGTTACATAACATGGTGTGAAATTTGATATGATAGAATTCAATACTGTAAAAATATAAAATTAAAAAATTAATAATTTTGGGTTTAGAATGACAAGTGGAAACAATTCAGAGTGAGAATAATAATAATAACCGTAGTAATAAGAGAAAGGTACATAGAATAACTAAATAAATAAATGTCTATCCTTCTATCGCCAAAGCAAAAGTACATACTTCTTTTGTACACAAAGGTCTGGCTTAAAGTCGTGAATTGCCAAGGCCTCCGCTATCTTTAGAAGTCTGCAACGAAGAAAACGCTGGAATTTAGCATGGATTCGGCAGATGATCTTAAAATCATGGTCAGGGTTAGTAGAGTGACAGGAGTCGGTCAGGTGTTCTATAATACAGCTTCGCACACACTTACTTTCTCTCTTGTAAAACCATGCAGCTGGAATATGTTCTCGTATCCGTGTGGAAAGCGTCCTCTGGCTACGGCCAATGTACCTTGCTCCACAAGAGCAGGTGAACTGATAGATGCACATGGAGGCGGTCAGACGGGGGAGGTGATCTTTTAAAGTGGTAGTGAACAACTTGCGGTTAGTGAATGTCATGTGTAATTTTGCTGCAAAAAACGTCTTACTGACTGCTTTAGAGAGACGGTTTTTGAGCATATCTGAAGGTTTTCTTTGGAACTGAGTCGGTGACCAGTCTAGACTGCTTATCTTTCATGTTGCTGTCAATAAATCGGTTAGGGTAACCGTTTTCTGTGAGCGTAGCTTTTAAGAAGTCAAGTTCTGAGTCAACGCAATCAGAACTGCAAATGTTCCTTATCCTATTATTATTTCATGTATTCATCAAAGATAGGACTCCAGGTGAACATAGAGAAAATGGAGGTGATGAAGATCCCTGGCCAACACCAACAACAACAGACAGCAATCAGCATAAATGGAAGGAACCTGAAAGAAACTACCTCCTTTACCTACTTGGGAAGCATTGTTTCAACTACAGGCGGAACTGACGAGGATATCAAAGCAAGGATCGGGAAAGCAAGGCAAGCTTTCATTACTCTCAAGTCTGTGTGGAGATCAACATCATTCAGCGTCAAAAATAAAATCGGGATTTTCAACTCCAATGTGAAGTCAGTACTACTATACGGATCAGAGACTTGGCGTGTCACAAAAAGCACCTCAAACAAGCTACAGACCTTCATTAACAGATGTCTTCGCTCAATACTCAAGATCAGATGGCCGGAAAGGATCAGCAACAAAGATCTCTGGGAGCGAACCAACCAGGAACCGATTGTGAAACAAATAGGCAGGAAGAAATGGAGATGGATTGGCCACACTCTGAGGAAACCAGCAAGTGACATCACTAGACAAGCCCTCGAGTGGAACATTGTCTAACATTTCACTGTTATCGTACATAAAAGGTTAATTAAGGCATTCAAAATCATTCCTATAAGAATGCTTCTATACACTGAAATTGATTGGAAGTAGCAAGTTATGCATCGTTTAGTTGTTTTTTTCTCGTTCCTTTACCTTCCAAGTAGAACATAAGGCTTGAAACTAGACCTTTGAAGTTTCGGTAGCAGTGGTGTTTATTTTTATCGGATGAGGTTGCTAGCCTCATGCCCAACCTTCCCACTTTACTAGTCCTATTACTGACTTAGCGAGGTAAAGGAGTGCGTCGGGGATCGAACCCCGAACCACCTACATGGCTGGCGAGCATGCAAACAAAAAATTGTAGTGTCGGAATCAGCAAAATTAGCCTTTTAATGATTAAGAATACCTTATAGAAATTATTTTTCAAAGCACTGTTTCTACTTGTCAAAGTAATTGCTTCTGACTAAGGAAGACAAAAAGTGCCTAATCCTCAACATCATATATTAAATAGTGAAAATGTATCCAATGCTAAGTAGACTTTTATTGTTGAATAAAATCCCTAAAATATTGAGTCTGTCCCCCTAACTTGTATAATGATACACGTTCAGACAAGCGAAACAACTGATTTAATTCACATATTAAGTCACATATAAGAACCGGATTTTCAACTCCAATGTGAAGTCAGTGCTAATTACTATACGGATCAGAGACTTGGCGCCGTGTCACGAAGGCCACTTCAAACAAACTACAGACCTTCATCAACAGCTGTCTTCGCTCAATACTTCGATCTAGATCAGATGAACGGCCAGAAAAGATCACCAACAGGGATCTCTGGCAATCAGCGAAACAACCAACCAAGAACCGATTGTGCAACAAATATGCAGGAAGAAATGGAGGTGGATTGGTCATACTCTGAGAAAACAAACTATCAAGTGACATCACACGACAGGCCATCGCTCAAGTGGAACCCAACTGAATGGGAAGCGGCGAGTTGGTCGTCAGTGCGAGAATGGGGTGACATGGAGGAGGTCATGTGAAGAGGAGATGAAAGCGTGTGGGCAGACGTGGAGCCAGGCGAGACCGTTGGCAGAGAACCGAACGCAATGGAGACGTGTGGCTGAAGCCCTATGTTCCTCTAGGAATTAAAGGAAACAATAATAATAAGATTTGGCTATACAGCCTTTACTGTAATACGACTGAAAGAATACAAAATAACTATTAGTGAGTTGGATTGGCAAATATAGAAAGAAGTAAGTAGTACATATTATCACTCAAAAATTTTTCTTCATATTTACTAAACTAAAATTGATTTACGTGGCTACTTCTGTCATTTTAGAACAGCTACACATAATGTTGTGTCTTTAAACTACCAAAAGTGCCTGATATGTGGATCCATGAATCTGTCTGGAAAAGAACTAATTAAAAATCTAGCTCGTGCTAATATTGTCTAACAGTTGGACCGATAACAGATAACCAGCTGATCTTATCCTTTTTAAAACGTCTGCTATCTTAAACCGTACGTTGGTGGTTCGCGTCGCGAAACATGCATGCGGTCCACGTTCGATTCCCGGTCGACACATTACTAAACCTCACTCAGCGAGTAGTAATTCCAATAGAGGAAATGTTAGGCATGAAGCTAGTAATCCCATCGTGTAGGACAAAAAACACCACGACTGCTGGAAGTTCAAAGCTCAAGCTTGAAGCCCAATTTCCCACTCGATCCTCCAATATGAATATACTTTTCCTACGCATACCCGGTTGGGGGTAATCAACTACAACAGTGGTAGACAGTCAATATTCGTGACTACTATGGCTGTATCATTTGATGGCAATAAATATGAAACTATAAAGATACTATTGGAGAATGCACAAATGAACATTTCTGTGTTAACCCTTTTGTTTCAGTATCTCAGAAACAAAATAATCCATTTAACCGCATTTAAGAGTGACTTACTTTTAAAGCTCGACCGTATGATCCACTTCCGATAACCTCTAAGATTTCTAAATCCTTCTCATCAATATTTGGAGGAAAGTCATTCAATGATCTCACAGAGGTTGTTCGAACCAAAGAAACACGATCGCATTCTTCTAAAATTGTACACTGATTGTCTGAACATGAATATTCACAACTAAATATTTTTTAGTGATATGTCATGTTCTTTTACCCACGGTCCTTATTAGCAGATCGACAAGATGTGCTCTAGAAAAAATTGAGGATTATATCCACCTCTAGTTGAAGTAAACTTACCGACAAATGTTTCTTGGTCAACATTCTTTTACTTTAGGAACTTCGATTTACTATAGAAATCCAAAGAATACAAGCGGTTTACTTAAAGTAGGTAAAAGTCTTTAAAAAAATTTACAAAACACCTAAATTTTGATGGGAAAAAACGAAATGAGTGAACCATAAAACGTCAGCATATGGTGAAATCTAACGTGAAACTGTACATTTCGCTGTTATGGTGTAACAACAGAAGACAAGGACCAGGCAACAGATCGTTTATGAAGGAAATCAAAGCATATTTATATATTTTCATGTACATTATTATAGATTAGTTAAGCAAACAAACACAGTCTTCTGATTGGTTGTTTCTCACTTAAAGTTAATCTTTCATCTCTTTGTGACTGTTTCTTGAATGTCAGATCATCTATATGTTAACTGTATCCGCCTACGCAAAGTCTGCTGTGGTCTGTTTTTGAATCAGTTTGTTCATATTTTCTCACAACCAATCCTGAGAACGTAAACATTGACGTCAATTACTGTCTACCAATTTAGCTAGTAGACAGCTCTCACCACAATGGTAAGAAAACGTCAGTTCATCATGAATTACCAAATATGACCAAATTAGTCAGTAGATGGGCGCGCCATTTTTATTCAGAATGATATGATGTAGCACCTGTTTGTAGACCATGACTAACCGAAATCTACAGGCAATTCATCGTTGCAGATAGTCTGATCATCACAGAACAATTTTATTTGATACAACACAATGGTACAGTATTATTTACTGATGATGTTTCGAGTGCAGTTTGTTGCTCACAATCATTACGATGCTTACATGACTCTCAGACTTGTTTATGCAGTCCTGATGTTTTGTATCGTTTGATTTTATTGGTAATAATAATAATGTCTCTGGTATTGGTGCTGCATGATTTCTACCGTATATATTTGGTGTCGATTTGGTGAACGAAAATTCAGTGACCGATTTCTCCACTTAACCATACTACTCTATAGAAATGCAGATCCGCCTCTTTACATTGTTTAATTATGTCTCAATGCGTACATTGGGATTGTTGAGTTTTTTTTCTAAGCTAGCGGTCTTTGTGATGTTAGTCATTATATACTTAGTTAAATTGCTGTGTTTCGACAACCTAATCCCGCTCTACTGCAGTGACATATGTAGTTGACATACAAATATTGCAAGGAAACTATAGGTCGCTATTTTGTTCCGTCAGGTCAGAAGGATATTTATCCTTCAGTGAGTTTGTTGGTATGAATGTCCCCTTCATCTCGGCTATTACTGAACAAAATGAGAATATATTACTATACAGTTATAACTTAATTTGCGACGCTTATAAGTATGTGTCTCTGAAGACACAGAAAATGAATCCATCAGTTGTTTTATTTCATATAAGTCCATAAATGAACTAGTACTAGTGGAAGTTCGGGAGGAAGAGCATACAATGAACACTGGCAGGAGTAGAAGGACAAACACTAACACAAAAAACGACTTACATCATGAAAGGCGCATGACACGAATAAAAATATACTATTGAAATTGGAAAGAAGTCGTCATTTAGACTAACTTAAACTTTCTGTTAACATGAAGAAACTTATGTTCAGTAACTTCATTGCTTTTACTTCGGTATGCTTAAGTGACACTAAGTGGGGTTATCCTACAAAACAGAGGACCACCATGCAAATTTATTGCACTCAGACATATTCAACTGCAGAATAAATACTTCATTGACCAACAGAGCATCTCATTATACCTAACAGGGAAAATACCATTTATTTCCCATCAGCATTATGGTGTAGACGATATGACTGCAACTAACCATTTTTCGGACTAACCACGGCATAAATGGGGTTCACCAAAAGAAATTCACCTCCTGTAAGGTGCACATTACATTCAGGAAGACGTAAAGTCACACTTCTCTCTCATTCCCTTGAAAAAAATTGCGAATTTAAACTATCAGGTCGCGCTATGTCATGAATTGGCAGAAGTTAGAATTCATGTGCCAATGGATCAGGTCCCAGTGACTTAATGGTCCATGAGCTCGCCTTGTGACCAGGTCCTGGGTTCGAACCCCACTGGGGTGGGTGCGTACTGATGAAGAGTCCCAGACTAGGACGAAACAGCTGTCCAGTACTCCCAGGTTTTCTAGTGGTCCTCTAACCGACATCGGCACTTGATGAAATCCTCCATCCAATTAAACTGTCAGGTCCCTGGAGTGAAAACGTTCCAATGACTTTGAACGCATGCTAGCCATTGGATAACGAGGACTATCATTATTATAGCGCTTATATAAACACTATTCACCAGCTAAGGGGCGAATTTCGCCCAGATCACATTTCTAAGAAGTTTGGACAATATGTTAATCGTTCGTTAGGGTCAGGATCACGGCGATACTTGAATTTAGGGCTAGGATATGGGTTATAATTGGGATTAGAATTAAGGTTACGGTTACGATTAGGGACAGGTTTCGAGTTGGTATTATTTATTCTAATTTGTTTTATTATTCAAATTTTCCCAGTAAGTAGTCGTCGATCCTCTTACTGGAAACCATAGTAATTCAAACTAGAGCATTCGCAGAAGACTGTGAAACAGGATAAGAGCAATAAATGGGTCACAAATGGTTTACCCTAAGTCACCTTGTTGAATAGATGTACAGAAACTGGTCTAGCTTAAGAACTGATACTCCTCATTATAATTCACAGCTATTTTTAAGTCATATCAGGAAAAGATACCTTACTTGATGTGTTTTCATGTATTTTCTTGTGAAAAAAATGTCATTAATTGTGTGAAATTCACTTATTTTTAGGATCGGTCAGCGAGTTAGCAACCCGTGGAACGTAATAGTGTAGCTTTGCCGGAAAAATCAACAGAGTCGAATGCAAACATCCCCATGAATCTCCCCGATTCTCACACCGTTATTTAAAACACGTGATGTTTTTCTCGGGGTTTTCGCAGAGATATCATAATATTATAATTTCTAGATTAAACTGTTCTGTTTACCCACTGAATAATTAGGATATATCAAGCGGAAAAGGAACACATTTGCAACGGTTTATTGTTATATTAATCCATAAACTACAATGGTAGTTTATGTACGCATGAATACAATGCTTAACTCACCAAACAGATACTAATAGAAAAAAAATTGTGAAGTGCAAAATATCCCACACGATCCACACAACCTAATTGTGAGCCACACAATTAACGCTGGCCTGCCTACAAACTAGGCTATTAAAACAAAGAACCAAACTAATGTTTCTTCATTGTAAACACTTGCAAATTCGTGGATTTCTGTGGCGAAGTCCACAATATTGTCTCTGTTTTCCATTTCTGTGTCTCAGCTATTGTTGGGTACGGAAACTTGGAAGGCATACAGAACGTTTGCTCGTCCGAACTATGAACGAGTACTTAAAGCCTCATACACACATGACATGTTGTTGATGCTTGTCAGCTAGGGCCTTCGTTTACACGACACTAGGAATAAATGCCAGTATTATATGAATATTACACAAAGTTTTCTATTACGGACCTCTGTGGATTAATAGTGCAGGGATGATACGATTCCACGATAGTATGTATATTTTATCCTTCGACGTAAACCAGAAGGCGGTTAGTAAGCCAAATTACAGCAACGAATTTGTCTTCCAGAAATAAAGTACATTATGGAATATTTTAGTTGATCATGTATGCATACTTAGATGGATGGAAATCATTTTCGGACAGCCGCATGTAACACGGTTGCGTACCGAATGAAACCGATGCTTGACTGCATACCTTCACCTCATTTAGTATACTCAAGCAATAACAGCTAGCACATGATGTTTAAAGATGAAAATTAAGGCCTGTAAATTCTGAAGTTTATTTACCGCTATGACTCAACTCGGGTAGTGTGTACCTCAAAATGATATCATCAGACGTGAAAACCTAACGATGGCGCTGTAAGGTCTGTCCGACACGAAAAGCTGTGGACACTCAGAGCTAGTTAATGATCAAGGAACTGAGAAAGACGATACGACTAAACTAAATTTAGTTTCACTCTGTATATGTTCAATTATAACGAATGGTGTAGAGACCCTATATTAACACTAACTGTCCGCTTGCAAACTAATTCATGCACTGAAATTATAAACATAACGAAACTGATTTTAGATTTACTTGTCAAATATTTGCATTTTATTATGGAACATTGGTTTCCTTTTGTTACATATATAAGGCGCGGCTACATATGTTAACATTCCCCTTGCGCCCTTATAGATTTGATTTCGTTACCGATACATATTTTCAAATTTCCACTTATACTTCCTGTTTATTTTGATAGAGTCTCACAGTGTTATACAGTAATATTTACTGATGCGTTTCGACCATTTATTTGTTAATTGGGTCACTGGGTCCTTTAACCTACAGAGCTTGTCCCTGAGTGAGTTTGTAGGTTTAAATGCCACCCCAATTCCTGCTTTATTTAGAATCCTACGTAGGGTCTCAGATGTCCCCTCTTTATATGGTATAACTGTAGATGACTTACATTCTCTTCTTCTATCTGTTTTATTTCATCATTTAGGTCTTTTTTGTGCTACTTAGTGCCATTGCTCGGTTTGTTAAACACTTAACTAAGCCTGCCTTAACAGTTAAAGGATGAGATGAATTAAAGTCTAAATATCTATTAGAATGCGTTGGTTTTCTATAAACACTAGTGTGCAGTTTGCCTTCTATTCGTTTTATTTACACTACATCCACTTATACTTCTTAACACAACGTTGTTCGTGTTTGGTTTTGTACAGCGTTTAACATTTCGTAAACGGTAAAAACCTGGATATACTACAGTTTGCAATCGGGATAATATTTAGTACCCTACAAATGTGCTATCGTGTTTCTAACTGGGCTTCACAACATCACTTGCCCAAGAACGTGCTTTAAAAAATTAACGTTCAAACCCCACAACTTTCTTGTGAGATAATGCATGTAATCAAGCGACGATTTCGGTTAATACTTTCACAAATTAATTGGATAACAGATTAGTGAACCTCTAGGAAACCAAATAGTTAGGCTGCCTGAATGACTTTGAACTCGTTTCGAATTGATTTTTACACGATATAACACCCTTGATTTATGTGTGGTTGTCAGTCCTGCTATACCTGAGCGCCGACTCTTTATCCTGGCAAACCTAAACTGGTAGCCCGGTTGCTCTTAGTGTAACAAAAGAAAGAAAGTCACGGAAGCCGAGGTGTATTTTCAACTGATCAAACCACTATTTATATGTAAACAGTAAATATTCTTTAACCAATCATTGAACGTGTGGTTTTGGTTTGCATTAACTGACATTAAATGGAATATTCGACTATACAAGGTATTCTGTTGCTAATGCAGTATTGAACTATGGGAATATGTGAGAATAATATTCCGTTGGATCTGTATCACACCACCGCACTAACACCGTGTTAACCAGTAAAATGTGAATATAACACTAACGCCTGCTGAAAGGTGTATCTATTGACGATGATTTTAAGAAGGTGTACAAGTAGACTATGATGCTACAACGAAGCTGACAAGATCTTATCCCTTGAAAGTTATCTTGACCACTGTGTCTTTCAGTCCACACGGATAAACAAATTGATATTTGCTGATGAGACAGCTGTGGTTCAGTTGAGTTGATGAGCGTCATTCGTCCACAACACACATATTTCACTATAGTCATTTGTAATTCGTACATATTTCGTCTTTTCACTTGTTACTTCCAGGGATTTTTTGACTCTTTACATACTTTTTACTCCAATTTTTATTCACTGAGATGTCTCATTTACCAACCGTGAAAACTGATTGCACAAAGTATTTCTATGGATGTATATATTGTAGTTATCAGTATGGTTGTTTTACCTGAATTCGATTGCCATGAACTTGAACTATAGTTTGTACTGCTTCGACCTCAGTATCGCGAATTTGAAAGTCCTAGGCGTAAGGAAGTATTTCCCCTTCAGAGTAGCGGAGGTAAGGAATCCATGCTTCAGCCCTCCCCATCGCCCGAGTGACAATATGAGATGCTTAATCACGAGATGATCAAGTGCCTAGTACTAAACCAAAAACATAGGTCAAGACGGGGCGACAAAATCTCCCTGTCATGCTATAGGCCACCAGAAGGACTCAGATTGTGAATTTCAGGCAGAAAACATTGACACCTATCTTCGGATTTAAGCGACATCCCCATCGTTTTTACTGTCGCTGACCCAGAGCCAGCGACCTCCCAGCGCTGACTTCCTAGAACCATATGACTTACTGTCAAGGAACTTAGCCCTAAGTTCCTATTGTAACGAAGACGCTTTGAACCGATAATGACTATGTATCTTCTCGACTTTAACTCCAAAACACCAGTATTCTTTGAAGGAAGTTATATTGTTTGGCAATTAAAGTAAAGATGGATACAAGTCTACAAACAAATGTTCAGTACAAATAAAATTATAAAGTACTTTTATTCGTATTTGTCTGCCGTCTTTGAACTTGCACACGATCGAGCCATTTGCGCCTCCGAGTTGCCCGCCAGTGATGGCCAAGGTCAATGAACCAACGTTCAATGTTCATATTCCTTGACACTTACTGTTTGATACTCTAAAGAGACGTCTAACAATCAAAGAAACCTCCTGGTGTACGAATGGCAAGGCGAGCGATCACCATTTATTAAATCTAGTTCAACCTCAACTAGTCAGCAACCGAAAGGTTCTGGAAAATTCTAGTGAGGTTTCAAGACCCAGTGACAACCAACCCTCGAACTTTCATAGCTGGTCCCAAACTTGCCCATGCTAAATGGACACATGACCGCTTAGTTTTTATAATAATAATGATTTATATTTCTTACCAACGGGTAGGTTTACAAGAAGTGCATGCCATTTTTACAGGCACTATCAGTTGTGTTATAAATTACAACAGTGAATGATCATAAATCAATATTATTATAGTTTCCTTTAGTTCCTAGAGGAACATAGGGCTTCAGCCAAACGTCTCCACTGCTTCGGTTCTCTGCCAACGGTCTCGCCTGGCTCCACGTCTGCCCACATGCTTTCATCTTCGCTTCACATGACCTCCTCCATGTCACACTTGGACAACCAACTCGCCGCTTCCCATTCAGTCGGGTTCCACTCGAGCGATGGCTTGTCGTGTGATGTCACTTGATAGTTTGTTTTCTCAGAGCATGACCAGCCAGTCCACCGACAATTCTTCCCGCATATTTCATGCACAATTGGTTCCTGGTTGGTTGGTTCGCTCATTGTCAGAGATCCCTGTTGCTCATCTTTTCTGGTTGGCCACCTGAACTTAATCGAAGTCCTGAGCGAAGACAGCTGTTGATGAAGGTCTGTAATTTGTTCGAAGTGGCCTTCGTGACAAGCTAAGTCTCTGATCCGTATAGTAGTACTGACTTCACATTAAAGTTGAAAATCCGGATCTTATTTTTCATGCTGAGTGCTGTTGACCTCCACACGGACTTGAGAGAAATGAAAGCCCTCCTTGCTTTCCCGATCCTCGCTGCCTTATGTCCTCATCAGTTTAGTCCGCCTGTAGTTGAAACGTTGCCTCCCAGGTAGGTGGTTAGGTTTTTGGAGGAGTTTGCTTCTTTTAGATTTCTCCCAATTGTGCAGGCTGGTTTTTGTCCGTTGTTGTTGCTGTTGGCCAGGAATCTTACAATAATAATAATATTTCGTATAAACGGGTAAGTGTACAGAAATGCATGCCATTTTTACAAACACGATCAGTAACGTTATAAATTATAATCCTGAAGTATCATAAATTAACACTTTTTCAAAGGTTTCGATTGCTCAATTATTGTACAAACAATCAGAACAGGTTCTTATAAATGTCAGATTGTAAACCGTTTACTAAGGTCGCCATCAAAGTTGACCGACAACCCAAACTTCGTTCCGTTTCTGCTGATAGTTATGGTCAACCAGTAAAAAGCGTATCTCTGGGTGAGTGCTATGCCGCCACGTGATTGGACGCTTTTTCAGGAAGAGGAGAAAATTCTGCGCAGCTGCGAAATGGTATAAAATGCAATTATGGAGAAGAAGTATTTAAAATGATAGTATAAATTTGCAATGTTTAATGCTAACCATATTGGTCTAAGCATGGAAACTATGATGTTTTCGATGAAGATGTAGCCTTGTTCAAACATTGGTGTTGTTGTGTTTTTTAATCAAAGCAACCAGGCTTTGGGCAAGCAACAAATATGAA